TTCGTGACTGCATTTTGCGCAGGAATTTTCCGTCGTGTGCGCTTTCACGTTGACTGCCTGGCCGCCCCCTGTTCTGGCTTTTTCTGCGTGTCTAGACTCAGCGAGGTCAGCGTAGGGGTTGCGTTTACGTGTTCTACTCAGCCGTTCTGCAAAAGCGTTCACCAAATTGTGGATGGGGTGACCTTGGTAAAATATTTTTTCTCCATGGTGCGTGGCCACCAAGTGCTCCTATTCTTTCATATGCTTCGCTTGCCACCCCTGCGCCGAGTGCAACGAATACTCAGAAGGACTACACATTAAGTATGCCTTGCGCGGTCTGACCAATCGAAAGTCTACACTGCGTAGTATTTCCGGGCTATGCAAAACTGTCGATGGCAACGCGTACTGCAGCCTGCTCCACACCCTGGAAACGAGGTTGGGTCTACGGTGCTCGCTATTTGCATGATTTGAAGCACAAGCATGTGAGTGACGTGTATAGTGCTCTGTTGCTTCCATCGTGTGTTAATACAGCTCCATGCTTCCACCAAGGCTGAGCGTTGTGAGTTCGCTGCCCGCCACATGTGTTGCGTTATAATTTCGAGGGCCTGTCTGGGATCAACGAAGGATCGATGCATTGCTTCAAACATCGCGATCTTAAACGCAGTCACACAAAAAATCAACGAAAATGTGTCCGATCCGGCGGAAGACACCCTCCACATTTTTCCACGGACGTGGAGCGATTTTGGCGTCGCGAAAGACCGCGGTCTCAGATCGTTTCAGGAGCAAACATTTCTCGGAGGCCGAGTAAAATTTGCTCTTATATAGATGGTTGACCCAAGTTGAATAACAGTTGACTCGACAAGTTCCTCGCAGACAGTCTCGCAAATTGTAAGACGTTCAAGTTTACGTTTGTTGAAGAGTCCAATATACTGAAACTTAATTATGACCTTCTTAATCAGCCTTCGCCTGTGTACTACGGCAAGCCTTTCAAGTACGTTTTCTCACAAATGCCACTGCCTCACAAAATGCCAATTTAACAGACCAACGGGAACATTTACAGACTGTTGCCATGGTACATAATTATCATGGGCGTCAATCGGTGGGGGACGGGGAACCCCTCCACCCCCCCCCCCCCCCACCCCCCCATTTTAAAGCGGTGGAGACTTTTTGGGTCCCCTCCCCCCCCCACTTTTCTTCCCCAAATAAAAATTGTAGCTACTACATGTATAATGATTCTATTACTCAGAATAGCTGATTCAATGACACCAAACTCGAAAATGATGTTTAAAAGATGATCTTTTGCTAAAAAAAATTGTTTTAGTGGTCAGAAATTGCCTCAGATCGCACCACAGAAATTGCTTTTCTATAACTGCATGTCTTCTCAACTAAATCCCCCAATTACATTCATCTCCCCACATTTTCATCCCCAACTCTACGCCTTACCCAATCTATGATCGGGTAAATCAACGAGGTATCGATGCATTGCTTCAAATATTGTGATCTTTGAACTATGTTGGGTTGGAATAACGAAGAGTGCATAAATAATAATATTGGCGGTTGTTGGCTGTTTGGCCTTGCTTATATTATGGTTGAACCATGCCAACTTGAATAAAATAGTTAAATCGACTTTTTCCTCGCAGGTCTCGCAAATTGTAAGAAGTTCAAGTTTACGTTTGTTGAAGAGTCCAATACTGTACCTTCATAATGACCTTCCTCCATGATTCAGACTATGTAATTTTATGGTAACACACTCAACATTTCTATTGCAAATGCCACCTTCACGTTTTATTCCATTATGATTTATTGTCAAAACAGTACAATCAGCCTTCGCCTGTGTACTATACGGTAAGTCTTTCAACTCAGTTTTCCCACATTAACAAACGCGACTGCCTCACAAAATGCAACAGACCAACGGGAAAATTTACAGACAGTTATACATGCCATGGTACATAATTATCATGGGCGCGGCGTCAATCGGGGGGACGGGGGACCCCCACCCCAACATTTAAAAGCGGGCACTGAATATCGTTTGGTTCCCTACCCCCACTTTTTCTTCCCCGAATAAAAATTGTAGCCTACTATAATATTCTTTTGCTCAGAATAGCTGATTCAATGACTCCAAACTCGAAAATGATGTTTAAAAGATGATCTTTTGTTTTACTATATCATACGTGGTCAGAAATTGCCTCAGATCGCGTCACCGTAAATTGCTTTTCTATAGCTACATGTCTTCTCAACTAAATCCCCCATTTACATTTAACTCCCCACACTTTCAACCCCAACACAAATACGCCCTACCCGATCTATGATCGGGTAAATCAGCTTGTTTAATATAAATGCATACTTTTTCATGGACAGGCTTTCTTCAAAAAATCATAACTTAATCCCAATTTTTTCTTAAGATTGTTGCTGACATCATAAACTAACATTTGAAAAAAAAATACAAAATTTGAAGCATATTGTTTTTCGTAATTCGAGGTCAAAGGTCATTTTGTTACGCATTTTCTCTGCACTTCATGCTACGATTTTGGTTTTAATTTATGAAATGGAGGCCATTCAAAGAACTTTAATATGATGTACAACTTGGCTTTGTAGGCACTATAGTTTTTGAGATACAAGTATTTAAAGTTCGGAGGTCATGCTAATTAGTCAAAAGTTCGTTGACCCGTATCTCAAAAAACTAACGAATCAATTTACAAAAAAAATCAGTTCTGGGGGTTTCTCATATAGGCCAATCATCACACCAAATATTGTTTCAATCTGTGAGGGTCGGGTCCAAAAGCGTGTTGATTTGACACGGAATGACCCATTTTGTTCTGCACTTTGGTAGCTCAATTGGTTTTAGACGTTCGACTTCCATGCCGAAGGTCCTTCGATCGAATCTGCACTCTGCAAATTTATTGTTCTCTTTTTTTTTCTTTTAATACTTTCCTTGTATTTTGTTTTTGATGAAATCCTAGAAGTACATTTCATGTTTTCCTAAGTTATCTGTGGCTTTAGAGGATATTTTTAAAAGGGAAATAGTCTGGTTCCAAGAGCCAAACATTCTGACGTTGCATATTGTCAGGCAAGGGAGCCAGATGGTCGACTGCTGTAACGATAGCCATGGCACTGCATTTTTAATTATAGCTCCATGCTCAAACTCGACCAGCCAGGCAGAGGTTAATATTAATCTTTGCATGAAGTCTGTTTGTTGGAGACATAAAATTATATAAGCATTTTCCCCCAAAATGGGAATGTTTCTTTGTCCAAATATATAGGATGTAGCCCAGGTTGAATGTTGTCATGGATATCACAAATTTAACATGGATCAGGGAAGGGGGGGGGGATTTTTGAGTCGGGTGGGGTTAGCAAGTCAGGTCGGTTAACCGAAACACGGTGTGATAAATATTGCCGAGTTACTGTGACAGGTAGGATCAATTTCAACCCACCACACGAATGTGAATGTAGTTTGCCAGCTATCAAGCACAGTCTACAACATGTACCGGTAGGCACACCAGTAGGTAACCTGATGAGTCTTGACCGTACCTTACGGTATGATTCTTCGCTGAGAGACGACGATATTCACGCGAAGCGGGTAAGTTCAGGCACAAAAGGCAGACACAGTTGCCCAAGCCAGATATTCGGGTGTTTTTTTCGGGTTGGTTCGGTGGTGCAGTTTAGGGTCGATTCGGGTCAGTTTTTGCCTGAAATTTTTGCCGGGTTGAGTTGGGTCAGATTTGGGGAGTTCAGATCAGTTTTGGTTCTAGATTTGTTTTATATTTCGGGTCTGTTTGTTCTAGTCAACCCGACTTGGTGGCGCACAACATTACTTCATGCATCCACCAGACGTACATGTATACATGTACCGGTGGGTAAATGGTCAGTGACCAAAAAAGGAAAGAATGTTGCATCCTTCCTTCCTGTCGCCTTCCTTCCTTAAAGTGCGCACGTGCAGCCTCATGTATGAGGATAAATGCACTGTGTGTTGCGCATGGGTCTAAGCAAGAAGTGCAGACGCCATCTTTCTCATACCGGTACATGTACCAGCTCAGTGAAGATCAGTCATTGCATAAATGTTGAGAAGACATGAATCTGGGACTGGGAAACATTTCCAATTTTGTTAAGAAATTTATGTGCTTTGAAAATATTCTCGACTCTCCATAGACATCGTGTACAAAGTGGCATCTGGTATTCTTTCCAAAATGAATCTGGGAAAAATAACCATTTCTTGGCGTGACATTTTCAAAAAAAGCTCAAGTAGTTTGTGGATCACAAAATGGCATGTTTATGTATTTCTGGCCTTTAATACACAGGATATTAAGTCTTGAAAACCAGATTCCCAGCATTTTCAGTGCCTGATTAATTAAAAAAAAAAATACCCCACCCCTTTTCCCTTTCAGTCACTCCCTCCCCCAAGTTAAGCACCCCTTGCATGCAGTGAATGAGTCCTTTTTTATGCAAATGTGTGTCCAATGAGCCAATGAAAAGCAGGGATGGTGGTGTGAGTGAGAGATGAATAGCCAGTTGCCTATTGGCTGGTTATGCTCAGTTCTGGGCTTGTGGTCGCCAGAAGTTCATATATGTATATACCAATATGTAGGTGCAGGTGTAGTAATAACCATTGCAACCACTTTGCGACAACTACCGGTATTTTGGAAGTTGAAGAGAGAGGTAGCCAGTATTTCAAGTGAAGAGTATTTGGAAAGAATGTAGTATCCTGATGTCACTTCTTGGGTTGTGTATAATCTAGTTGAGTGCATTTTCAACTTTAATAGTTTCTAACTAAATTGGAAATGTTGATCAGTCCCAGATTCATGACTTTTCAACATTTTTGCAATGACTGACCTTCATTGGGACATGATGGAAAAAAGTGGCGTCAGGATGCAACATTCTTTCTGAGTATTTCCTTTTTTTCAGAACTTTTATGAAATGGAAAATTTGAGCAAAACCACAATAGTCCAGCTGTTTTGCATTTCATTCAGATTAAGTTTACAGCACTCCGATTTTTGATTAGATGTTGTTTTTGTTTATCTACCCAGACCAAGCCCAAAATTAGAGAAACATTTTTGGATTAGGAAGGAGACCAACATCAAATCTCAAAAGATGGACCCCTTGAATGTCTTGACTGGCAATTACACCTTGAAGTCGAAGACACCATGCGATCTGTCCTCCTGCACAAAACAGTAAGTACCTCTCTGCAGTCTGTCCTTGAAATTGTGGCTTCATCATACTTTGTATCATAAAAGATCATGATTAGACATCGTACAGTACATGTGCTGCCAGGCTGGTCATTAGTCTGCTCGGGACATTAGATATTGCGCTAATTAAAAATTAATACAAAATAAACTAATTACTCACAACGTTTTTTTTTTTGTTTTCAGGGAAGTTCTTGAGTATTTTGAGAATTCCTACAGCTTAAATGAGAGTCTGTTTACGTCTGTGGCTGGTAAGTATGAATAAACTTGGCTAATAGCCATGAAATGAAGTTGGCTCTAAAAATATTTTGTAGAAGGGGTCATTCTTTAGTAAAGTGTCTACTTTTGGCCTTTTGAAAATTGTGAAAAAAAGTTGTTCAAATGTTGAATTTTTTTCATGAGATGTAATCATTATGTTGCACATCAACTATCATTAGCGCACAGCGCACTTTAGAGGAGTTTGAACCATTTTATCAATATTAAATTTTCAGTGCTGTAGCATAGGAAAAAAGGCAAAAGTCATATTCGTCACACCTTTTGTGATGGAATTGACAATATTTGAATGAAAGTGAAGCCGAGTTAATTCAATTGAGAGCTTTTGAAGTATGAACATAGAATAAGAACCAGTCAGTACAGGGGCTTTTGACATGATAAGCCCAATCCATTATCATCCTTATTTTATTACGTTATCAACTAAACAAAATGTCACAAAATCATCTCCGTGGAGCTGGCTGTGACGGAGATGACAAAATTTAAAATCAGACTCGTGTAGCGCCATCTGCAGTTTGTTTGAAGCACGAATACCACGTGCTTGTAAGTTTACACAATTCTGATCGAATTTATGAATACTTTTTTAGAATGAAAATATGAATAAGGCATGGTTTAAAGCATTCGGAGATGACACCAAATAAATGTACGCACTTGTAATTTTAGTAAATTATTTTCATTCACGATACCTGGAGAAAATTTGAACACGATGCACTGTCGTACAAAGACCAAAGCAGTGTTTCTATTCAGTTTTTATCAACTATTGAGGATGCTGCAAATGTTTTCTGAAAAAAAACCAATAAAATTTAGGAATTAATTGATCTATAATGGCATATTATGAAGGAATGACAAAAAATGAATGAATAGATTTAAGTAACAAGTACCTATCGCTTATGACAAAGAGTCTTCATGAAGAAAGTTCCCACACCAAATAAATATAATGATCGGCATTTTTGCATGGTATGTTCAGGACATGAGTTTTCTGGGGATCGACATCAAAAATCTGAAAATAAAGAAAAATTATAAACTGTATTCTCTAGCTTTTAATGAACAGTTATTATCAGAATTATTTTTATTAACATAAATCCACAACAATACATAAAATTATGCATTTTCCATCTACACGGCGTCAAAGTATCGGGACAAGAAAGTAGACACTTAACGAAGAGTGACTCATACATGTACATTGTATAGGCCTACAGAATCTACAGTAGAACACGTCTGTGAAAACATTGTCATTGTTGTTAAGGCCAAAAAAAAAAAGTCTCCGGTTTCTGGTATGCGCGCGCGTCGCCGTAGCCATGCGCGTCAGCAAAATGAAAAAGGTTTTTTTTCAATACAAGATGATGTCTCAAAACCGCCAAACTCACTGGTTTGACTGGAATCCTACTGCTGCACAATTTTAATGTGTTTTTAGATGGGGCTATGATCGAGAATAAGCTTTATGTGGCCTCTCTGGACTTCCATATATTTGCACTAAGTTTAGTCGGGCACCATTTGCAGTCATCAGCCGACATTTGAAGCCAAAAAAAAAAAAAACAGGTAAAAAAAAAAAAAAAGGCCGCGTCGCCGCACCACTTTTTGGGGCAAGCTCCATACCAGAAACCGGAGACTTTTTTTTTTGGCCTAATCAATGTACGGAGCATTCGACTCGAACAAAAATCCCCTTCGTATCCATACAATTGTATCCAGCATTCATGGCAGCGTAAGTTCTTATTCTTTACACATACCGGTAAAAGTACAACATTTTGAAACACACAAGTGTGAATTTCCCAATCATGCTGTGTGCATGTTGGTGTAAATGATGTGGGAATTCAGTGTCAAAATATACACTGTAGCACATATTGTCATTTCGTGCCACCAACTTTTGCAGTAATTCGTTGCCCTCTTGAATAAAACTTACACGTACCATGCCCATTATTAATATTGCATGTACATGTACATGCCCCATTCTAATCATGTGTGCTGGCATGTGGACAGGACACTGCCTGTACAAAGGAACACAACTTGTTTTGATTGTGATCACTCTTATGGAGCCACCTCTTGGATACCATTGTCCAAACAGATTAAGTGTGTAGAGCTCTGATAAAAGGCTTGAATACTAGGGGAGATATGGAGCTTCGCCATACCCTGCCATACCCCCAGAAACTCCCACACGGGCCCCTGGATTGTCCAGTCACAAGCCTCCCTGGATTGTCCAGTCACAAGCCCCCAGGATTATAAATGTCATATCACTTCAAAGAAAGCATTGGGAGGGAGTGTCATTGTGTACATATGACAATAAGCTGATTTTGATCAAAATCGGGCAGGGCTATTTGTGTTGGGTGTGAAAATGTGGGGAGTAAAGTAACTGGGATTAAATTGAGAGAATATTCAGTAAAGAAATGCAATAAATACATGCCTTATCAGGCTATTATCAATATAATGTAATTCAAATTGAATTCAAAGCTTAAAGACCTGTGAGGAAAAAGTTGATTCAAGTTTTAATTTAGGTTGGTTCAACCATAAAACATTTTTAACTGTGGTTTTTATAACTTTAAAAATGTACATGTACATATATTTATCTTGTACTAGTATGTCCACTGACCTGAATTTTAATGTTTTTGATATGAAACTCTCACATAAGTTCCTTAACGAAATTTGGTAACCGTTGTTGATCTTTTGAACTATGTGCAATTTTGAAATGGAAGGGCACTTTTGTGTAATTTTATCCTTTATAACAAACTCAGAAGGAAGTACATATTCAATAGTGTTGTATAGATTAATATATTTTTAGGATTTTGTTTGCTGTCTGGATATGTAATGTTGGAGTGTATTCTTCTTGAGTTATACTTTGACTTTTTGTATTGTTTTGCTTGTTTTGTATTGAAAAGGTTTGAAAAGGGGGGGGGAGCAGGTGGGTGGGTGGGTGGGTGGGTGGGTGGGTGGGTGGTGGGTGGGTGGGTGGGTGGTGGGTGGGTGGGTGGGTGGGTGGGTGGGTGGGTGGGTGGGTGGGTGGGTGGGTGGGTGGGTGGGTGGGTGGGTGGGTGGGTGGTGGGTGGGTGGGTGGGTGGGGGTGGGTGGGTGGGTGGGTGGGTGGGTGGGTGGGTGGGTGGGTGGGTGGGTGGGTGGGTGGGTGGGTGGTGGTGGGTGGGTGGTGGGTGGGTGGGTGGGTGGGTGGGTGGGTGGGTGGGTGGGTGGGTGGGTGGGTGGGTGGGTGGGTGGTGGGTGGTGTGGGTGGGTGGGTGGGTGGGTGGGTGGGTGGGTGGGTGGGTGGGTGGGTGGTGGGTGGGTGGGTGGGTGGGTGGGTGGGTGGGTGGGTGGGTGGGTGGGTGGGTGGGTGGGTGGGTGGGTGGGGTGGGTGGGTGGGTGGGTGGGTGGGTGGTGTGGTGGGTGGGTGGGTGGGTGGGTGGGTGGGTGGGTGGGTGGGGGGGGGTGGGTGGGTGGGTGGGTGGGTGGGTGGGTGGGTGGGTGGGTGGGTGGGTGGGTGGGTGGTGGGTGGGTGGGTGGGTGGGTGGGTGGGGGTGGGTGGGTGGGTGGGTGGGTGGGTGGGTGGGTGGGTGGGTGGGTGGGTGGGTGGGTGGGTGGGTGGGTGGTGGGTGGGTGGGTGGGTGGGTGGGTGGTGGGTGGGTGGGTGGGTGGGTGGTGGGGGTGGGTGGGTGGTGGGTGGGAAATACTTAACATATGAACTTCAAATTTGGTTTGTGGATTGTTCTTGGTAATCCTAAGAAGCCTATTGAATTTGGGGCCAAAAGGTCAATGGTCAAGTTCACAGTGGCTACAACAATAGAAATCATGTATTTATTCTGAGATTATAGGGATTAGGGATTAATTCATATAAAACCTACAGAAGACACTAATGCTGTCAATGAATGTTCCATGTGACCAAGGTACATGTAAGTTGATGTTAAAAGAGTGGTGTTATGTCATGGGAACTGTCACGGTTGCGGGGCATTTGTGTTTGTAAACACACCTGACTTGTTTTCCTTTTTTTTTTCATTTTCAGGGGGAGCGCCCCCCTTGCCCCCCCCCTCACGCCCCCCTCACGCCCCCCCCCCCTCACGCCCCCCCTCGCGACGCCCGTGCCAATTGTGTACATGTATTTCATGTAGACAGAATTGTTAATGACTTATTACACAATTATTTGCAGAATTACCTGGCATATATGTACCGTTATGTAGCCATGCAGAAACGAGGTTACGGTACTTTTATCAGTACATTGTATTTAAAGAAGAATGGCTCATGAAGAGATATCCAACCCTGGTACACACTAGGACCAGTTAGCCTAAACAAGAAAAAAAGAAAATTCTGGCAGTTGTCACGTCCTGGTACACACAGTTCACCTAATCAAGGCCATCAGTATCTGGGGCACCCAAGTTTGAAAACTTAAAGTTATAATCGCCAGTCACCTAGCATTGATAAGGCAAGTTTGGATTTATGCAATAATTTTTCCATTGACCTTGTTCATTGTTAGCACTTTATAAAGCCAGACACTGACGTTGTATAAAGTCCACACTGTTAGATAAATGCACACACTTCAAGTACATTTGAAATATCTTCTCAAGTAGTTGACCTAGATGTCCAACTGATATTCACATTTCTGATAGCATTGTCCATGTAGGTTTTGTCATTGCTAAGTTTAAAAAGATTCTGAGATCGAACGTTCCCTTGCAGCAAAAGTCTTATTGTGCGAAAGAGTTTGTATTGTGTTACCCGAATTTGCATTGAGTTGCAAGGACTTCATCAACTTTCCTAAGAATGCTTTTTTTTCTTCGACCCTCACTTAATTTTTGTGCTCGTAAGTATAGGAAAGGCCCAATCTTCATGAAACTTGGTGGGTTGGAAATGGTAGTCTGACATGATGTCACGATGACGTCATCGGTTGATTTTTTTAATGATATTTTTTTACTTTAGAATACAAGGTTTTGTTCGCTTCCAAAATTTTACACTTCCTTTCATCGGATTGAATTTTGACTTGGGACAGAACCAAGACCACAATTACAAAATGTACATTGAGAAGGGTTTTCAAGATGACGTCATTGCAGGGCATGTGGCGTCATGTGATAATGCTTTATTTTTGGAGTTATTCTAAGCATTTTGAACAACCCTTAACTGTATCAAGCACTCTAAAAAGTCACTGCAAAAGGACAAACGTAACAGACATTTGTAAAATGTGAAAAGCCCGATGTTCTGTTCGAACAGACATAGCTCTAGTTTTGTTTGTGATACTGTGTGTGCATTTGTTCTGCTTGCATAAGGCACAGTACAAAAGTGTTATGTAATATGGAACAATAGGCCCTACAACCTACTGAGACTATTGACAACCAGGCAGTGGCAGAGTTGCAAAGTAGTACTGACACTGCACAAACATAATTAAAATTTAAATAGGCATATGAGAAATCTCATGGAGGTTGGGAAAGACCAATGACAATAGTTCCTTATAAAACGAGCAAGGGAACGTGCAATCTTCTGTTTGTGTTTGTAATTGAAATATACAGGACACATTCTTCCCAACAGAATATTGCCAGTATTATTCTGCCTTTTTTTTCATTAAGTTGCTTCCCCGTGCTCTTCAACAAATTTGATTTATTTTTCTATTAATACAGTTTCAAGTTTTGTTTTATTCCAACTACAAACATCTCTCCCCCCCCCTGCGAGAACGGAATTATTGTCTGGCAGCGAATAATCCCATTTTTTAAAGTATCACAATAACTAAACATGGACCATTTTTTTTCTGTCAATGTTTCATTGAAAGGTGAATGACGTTTGTATTGCTAGCAAAATAGAAATTTAGAAAAAAATCTATTTTTGGGATGAATCTCAAAAAAGCATTCTGTGTCAAGTAGGCCTAGGTCTTTCAGTCCAATTCAATCAAGTGACAGTTTTTTCGACAGTTAAAAATTTCCATTATACATAGAGCAGGATTGACTGGCTGGAACTGTTTTAGTGACTAGATACAGCTACCGGTATGCTTTGACCCCAGGTGTAGACCGTGGGCCAGAAATCCTATCTTGCCTAAAAAATGAAGTCCGTTCAAAATTTTTGGTGGCAACAAAAAAATGCTTGTTCTTTGTCAATTCGAGGGTGCTGAATTCAATCCTTTCTGTTGCCAAGCTATCAGGTGGCAGGTTTAAGCACAATCTTCGTTCGAAGTGTTATACCAAAAACATCCTCTTTTGGGGCCTCTGACAATACATTCCCTTAAGGATCTCGGCAATGGCCCCTCCGATTTCAATGCAGATTGTCACCAACTTGGAATACTTAATGATAAATAACTGTCAAAGATTGTACGGTCATAGCCAAAGGGATTTCATAATAACGATAATAATGCAAAAACAATGCTTTGACATACTGTGTATCTGTGTGCAATGTTTTATTGTACATGTACCACCTGGTTTTTTAGGCATTACTGATTTTATATCCATAAGGCAGACCACACTGTTTCCATCAATGTAAATGACTGAATTACATGTCACTAAATAGTCTTTCATGCAAAAAAAATCATAATTAAAGTTTATTGTTGTTTTGTTAATTAAGTAGGAAATTATTCAGCAAATACATGTAACGCTTCGGTCATATTCAGTGTTATATGCTTACTCAGTATTTTTTCCAAAGTATCACTGAAATGTTCCATGTGATGTTGAAAGATTACTCAATTATGTCGATTATCCAAATTAAACAAACTGTCTAAAATTTGAATTCCAAAGATTGTAAATTGATGGGAAATAATTACAAATGTATGTAATAATACAATTTTTCTAGGAATTATTATTCTCAAATGCAGAGCTGAATTGCTGAAAATACTCTTTGTAGATGACCGAATTACATCATTAACCCAACATGAAGTACATGTATTTTGAAGCCAAGAGTTTCATAATTGTAAGGGTTTCACTGTATACAAAGCATCAAATTATGCAAAACCTAACGATTTGGCTATATTATGCCTTGTTTATATGCAGACAAATTGGTTTTTCAAGTCATCACTGAACTTCCTATTAATTCCACAAATGTGAATCTGAACTTTAGACTATTGCTGATTACTAAATTATGTCATAAACCTAAAATGAACAGAAAGATTTCATGGTCATTAATTAAGCAGGTATGCAATGCTTTTTTCAAGACATTAGTTGTATTTTCTCTTACATTTTGAGCTAGACAAACTACATGTATTTGTAGATGATTGGATTGCCATTAGCCTAAAATAAACTCTTTAAAACTGGAACTTGGGTGACCAATACAAATCGACGGAAGAAATAGCCTTCATGAAAGTCATGATTACAGTTCACATTTCTACCATCCTGACCAAGCTGATAAAATACTCATACATGTTGCTGTACATGTAGTTACAGGTGGTAACTACATGTAACTAATAGAAAAATATGGCTGATCATTGATGGCAAATACATGTTTATGTATATCTTTGATACATGCTTATAGACAGGGGCATAAGACAGTGTCTTTAAAGATCAATGTCACTTTCATCACCATCGCTGGGCAGGCATTCCAAGTCTGAGAAGTGTTGTTCCGGCAATCAGTTCAAGGCAAGGCAATTCCCGAGCCAGACAGGAGCAATTGCGTGAGGTGCAATTCCTTTTTATACTTGCAGCAAATATTCTGGAGGACACTAGGAGGAGCCACATGCAATGATCATCCACTGAAATGTAGGCCCCTATGGTTTCTCCTCCCATCTGCCAACCATGGACAACTGAACCGGGAGTCACATTGCAGAACCTGTTGGGATGAGAAAGAGAAAGTTGAAATATTCTGTAATTAATTGGAGGACTGGATTTAGGACAAACATTTTACTTTTTGGAAAATGAAACAAATTTAATGTTGAGTGTGGGACTTGTACTCCGGTCAGTGGAAATGGAGGCCAGCGTTTTCCCTTGGAGCTACTCGTTTGCTCGGTTTAAAACATAAATTGATAATCTTGAGTGACAAAGACACACATGCGTATACATTTGCGTGTTAAGAGAGATTACCAGCACAACAACGGAAACTTTGAGGGACCGTAAGATCCCCAACCAGCCAAACTCCAATGCCAGGGTTTGTTGGAATCTGTTAGGATGAGTACTGCACTAGTAAACTGATTGTGCTTTGCTTTAAATATGGTGTATCTCAAATACCAACTGTCTATCTGCACAGATTGCCATATGGTGATGGGATTTGCTAGGATGAGGAAATCAGCCATCATTCTGACCTTTTAATGTCTTTCAGCTATCAAAATTTTGAGTAAGAGATATAAAAAAATAGTAATCTTTCAGTTTTTGACCCAGTTTTCATATAAAAGAGCAGTCATGTTTAGAGACTTTTTTATGCCTATACGGGATCAATCTAGCTGGAGTTACCTCAGTCCTATATATTTTATCATTGAGTTGCAGCCCTGTATATTTTATCATTGGGTTGTCATCACCCAATGATAAGAAATTAATATAGGGCTGATGTAACTCCAGCTAGGATCAATCACCTTTTTGGTTTGGAATCATACAGACATGACAGATAGTTCCCTAATTATAAGATGCCATGTTGCTTAATTTTGTGGAAAGGGAGCATGGTTTTGAATTAGCTTGAGTAACTCCAGCTGACATGCTAATGATCGATGAGCATGTAAGCAGGAGTTACTCAAGCTATATTTTTGAATTATGAATGACATTGTACGGACTTGTATTTGTATTAAAACAAAAACATGATATATTAGAGGTGTCTTAAATTTAACTACACAATGCCAAAAAGTACTCGCCTACCCATCCTGCCAATAGCAAAAAACAATATTTTTCTTAGCCAAAGTCATAAAGCCGCCTTTACGATCTCTATTTTACGACATGAAAACCTACCTGGCCTGTGGTCCGGTCCGGTGTCACATGAAAATCCGACTCCTATGAAAATCGGACCCCTTTTCCCCTATTATTGGTTAATCCCTCGCACGTGACAGGTCACTCTCCCTAAACGATCCTAAAAATAGCGTAGTATCGTACTCACGCGTGCGCAATACTACCAATGAGTCCACATTTCATGGAGTCGGATATTCACGCTACACCTGTACTGGCTCGACTGGTACTAGACGTTACATGGTGGTTTTTAACCGCCCGTATTTATGGGCATGATGGGCCTAGGCCTGGGCATACTCGGCCTTGTTTTCTTAGACAATCTCTCTCTCCTTTCTAACCAACTCTTTAAAAGGTTCGTCTCTGTAAACGGTTAAGTTACACCGGTTTCTTCACAAACTCGGCTAACTCACGTCCCGTTCACGGGCGCCGCCATGTTCCGTCCTTGCCCTTTTCGTACCAAGTGAAACAACACTATTTCCTCAATCAGCTACGAAGAGCTGATTCGAGGTTGCAACTACTGCCCTCTATCGGCGGTTCAACGAAACCGCTACAGATGCGACGGAAATGTGCAAGTTTCAACCTTGATTATCAAATTAACCTGCCGGGTTTTCTGCTGGCAACATCCAAAATATCAATCCACGGCACAAAAGGAGTTCATTAGGGAAGAAAGTAATTTGCCACCAAAAACTCCGAACGATTCTGCAGGCTACGATTTCTGGCCCACGGTCTAGTGATTGATAAGCCAGCTGTGACCACAATTCGCCTACTTTATCTGTTCATGGTCTGTTGACCCAGTTTGACTAGTCACAGTGCTTGCTTGATATGTTTGATCTGACTGCTGGTGACTAGCCTGTTTTAAAAGTATAGCAGGGAAGTAGACAGCAATTTTGACTGTCTGTGACTGTTTAAATAGCAGGAGGTTTGATACAAGAATGTACATGTACATGTACATCCTAGCCAAAGGGCCCTATGTGGTTAGGGTAATAATATTGATTGATATCGATTTCCTGACTCTATAAAATAATAGACACGAAACTGATGAGTTTTTAATTGTTTACTGATGACAGCCAAGGAGGCATTTTACATGTGTCCTGATCGTCTGCGACTGCCACTCATCTTTTACTACGCTCACACCGCCGTGGTCTACTGGAACAAGATGCTACTGGCAGGCCTCGTACAGGGACGAATGAACCCGGAGTTTGAGACCATGTTCGAGACGGGAGTGGACGAACAATCTTGGGATGACACGGTGAGTATGATTAGGATGAACAAAATGATGTAAATTATCCATAAACAAGGCAGACAATACTTAGCACTGTCACATACATGTTTGTATGGGCCAGATCGCTATTTCAACTATTCATGCGCCAGTGTTGTCAGGTGCATTTCCGTGAGAACGAGTACAAAATTGTACGAGTATGAGTACTTCCCATGAGTACAAGTACATTACCATTGAGAACATGTATGAGAACAAGGCAATTTTTTCCATGAGAACGAGAATGAATTTGAGTACTTTGCCATGAGTATACAAGTACGGGCATTTTTTTATTGCAAGTATGAGTACATTCTCATGAGTACGAGTATGGAAAAAACGAGTATGAGTACTTCCCATGAGTACAAGTACATTACCATGAGTACATTTTTATACATATGAGAACAAAGCAATTTTTTCCATGAGTACGAGAATGAATTTGAGTACTTTGCTGTGAGTATACAAGTACAGGCATTTTTTTTCTTGCAAGTATGAGAACATTCTCATGAGTGCGAGTATAGAAAAAAACGAGTATGAGTACTTCCCATGAGTACAAGTACATTACCATTGAGTACATGTATGAGAACAAGGCAATTTTTTCCATGAGAACGAGAATGAATTTGAGTACTTTGCTGTGCGTATACAAGTACAGGCATTTTTTTCTTGCAAGTATGAGTACATTCTCATGAGTACGAGTATGGAAATAACGAGTATGGGTACTTCCCATGAGTACAAACTACTTGTACATTACCATTGAGTACATGTATGATAACAAGGCCATTTTTTCCATGAGAATGAGAATGAATTTGAGTACTTTGTATACAAGTATTTGCATTTTTTTTCTTGCAAGTATGAGTACACTCTCATGAGTACGAGTATGGAAAAAACGAGTATGAGTACTTCCCATGAGTACAAACTACTTGTACATTACCATTGAGTACATGTATGATAACAAGGCCATTTTTTCCATGAGAACGAGAATGAATTTGAGTGCTTTGCTGTGAGTATACAAGTACAGGCATTTTTTTCTTGCAAGTATGAGTACATTCTCATGAGTACGAGTATGGAAATAACGAGTATGGGTACTTCCCATGAGTACAAGTACATTACCATTGAGTACATGTATGAGAACAAGGCAATTTTTTCCATGAGAACGAGAATGAATTTGAGTACTTTGCTGTGACTGTGAGTATACAAGTACAGGAATTTTTTTTCTTATAAGTATGAGTACATTCTCATGAGTACGAGTATGGAAAAAAAAGGAACCCTTGTTGGACGATTTGTGTTACAGGATTAAAAAAAACAGCAAATGGGCCTAAATCCATACGGGTCTATTGTGGACGTGTTAACCAGTTCGGGCCGGGATTATTTTGACAAGAACGGAAAGAGGCGCAGCATTACTTTTCACTCGATCTCAAGCCAGGCGGGTTGAAGCCATCACCCTCGGGCAGCACACTCATGTTTCCAGCCTCGCTCACTGCGAGCGGGTCACTGACAGATATTTCTGGCCTCGTTCCCTGCTTGTCTATCTGTCATCCGTTTTGAATACCGCAAAACTTTTGCAGGTATAATACACGTCGTCCGGCGCGAACTTGTCAAACATATCTGCATTCTGCAAATTTTCATGGAATTAAAAAGAAAATGGAAAGTTTTGTTCACACAAAAGACGGAGCATACAAAACACTGCAAAACCATCGGGATCTCCAAAATTGTTTTCAGTTGGGTACTAGTTTCAGGAAAGCAAGTTTTCTTGAATGTCATCACTTGCTATTGTACATGTATATGATTTACAAGCATATATGGTGAAGTGTTTATCCCAAACGGAAAATTGTCATATCCTAATGTGTGAACATGCAGTCGAAAATACCAAAATTGTTTATCTGTATGCTCGGAAAGGTTACAATTTAAAATTTATTGTTTAACTTCCAAATTGCAGGAGAATTACCGCATGGGGGGTGCCTTCAAGTGGCCGCCCTTGGAAGAAGTGGTGGAGTACCGGCGCAAGGTCCGCAACGCCATACGCAAAGTAATTGCAGATACCAAGCTAGAGCTGCCAGTTACCATGGAGAGTCCGTGGGTGAGTATTGTTTACATTTATGTTTTTGGATGGTTGTTACATTCACAAGCTACAATGTAATGGCCTCATTTGTACATGTACATGTAGGATGTATTGTTGATGTACCCTAACGTGGTGCGGCGCTTAACATAGCGGGGCTTAACGTGGCGCACTTTGAGTTTTCGCCTCTAGTGCCTTGCTAGTGCCTCAAATTTCTCAGTAAGTGAAATTTTATCAAGCTATAAATATTCCTGTTCAAAAATCTTGAGTTTACCTACCCTTTACAAAGTTGCAGAGAATTTTTTTTTTGGCGTGATTTTCCGATTTTATTTCGAAGTGCACAATTAATCTTTTTAAAATGCGCCTAAAAAAGAAAATAATTTTCTGACAAACTTGGGTTTTGAATGGTGAATATAATTTATCAAAATTGTTTAACTTTAAAGAAATGTTTAAATGTTAACTTCGGATTTGTTGAGATTTGTTCAAGGGGGGCCACGATAGGGAACACTCAGCTGATTTTGTGCCCAAATTTCGGACGCCACTGCTTTTGAATTTCAGACTAAACTTCAAGACACTGAAATTGTTCTCAAAGGATCAACAGCAAGCATTTTTAACTCAGTAGTGTCGTGTACATGTACACATTGAGAGTAACTTGCTGTGAAGAATATTACAATGGCTACATACTGTAGTCATGACATGGTTATACCATGGAGGAAGGAAGTCTATTCCTTCCTCCATGGATGTAATTCACCTTATCATCATGACATGCAATTTGTTTTACCCTGAGGTCAATCTATTGTTAGTAAATACATAAGGTGACTGAGGTGAAATGACAATGTGCACAATTGCAATTTGCCTTTTATCTTAACTTTTATCTTAAGTATACAATGTGTAGGTTTATCTGTTTACATATGTACTTGTACCCATTACATAACACCAGTACTATAAAAAAACAAGCTTATCCGGAAATAGTTTGATTACATTGTACATACTGTTGTAGGGTACCATGAATTTCAGATTTTAATTTCTGAATCGGCTAAAATGATGTTCCAGCAAGATTTAAGACCTACATTGAACATAAAACACATTAAAAACAAAAACTAAAAAGAAAGTTTGCCCAACCAAGAAATGGTTTTCATTAAAAAGTGCAAGTCATGATGAATCTACATTTTTTTTTTTTTTTTAGTATTCTGTTTCAGTTTTCTTTCCTGTGTTGTTTCCTCTGGTTTTCCTCTCGCATTGTGATACAATGTAACTGTGGGAAGTATAAAGGATATTTACTGATTAATATAATTAACTTAATGTTTTAATTTGATACCTTGAAACTGGAACAGAAAAACCCTAAAACAACAAAATGCGGACTGATCGTGATTCAACAGTTTTCATTGGCAATTTTAACCCCTTTTTTGGTTGGGTCAACTTTTTTGGATTTTTTTTCTTTCAATATGGTAGCTCTTCAATGTCATCATATTAGCCTATATTCAGAACTTCAAAGTAACTTTTTGAAATTCACTGCACGTTCTACAGTTGATTATTATCGTGATCGTACCTGTACATGTACATGAATAAGGGCAGATGGCCTTATTACACAAGTTACAAGAAACTTGTTATATCAGTCATGGGTTATTCCGTGTCAATTTAACACGATTTTGGACCCGACCCTCACAGATTGAAATGATATTTGGTGTGATGATTGGCCTATATGAGAAACCCCTAGAACTGATTTTTTTTTTTGTATCAGTAGTTTGGCTTGTTTAGTTTTTGAGATACAGGTCAACAAACTTTTGAATAATAAGCATGACCTCCAAACTTTACTTGTATCTCCAAAACTATAGGACCTACATGTACAAAGCCAAGTTGTACATCATATTAAAGCTCTTTGAATGGCCTCCATTTCATAAAATAAAACCAACATAGTTGCATGAAGCACAGAAAAAAGGCATAACAAAATGACCTTTGACCTTGAATGACGAAAATGAATTCTTCAAATTTCGTTATTTTTTTTTTCAGATGCTAGTTTAGATGTTTAAAGCAACGTTTTTTTAACATTTTGTGATTGGCGCTCTTAAAGTTTTCAAGTTAAGATTTTTATTAAGATAGCATGTCCAGGAAAAAAACCTTATTTGCATACAGTACATGTATATTTACTCACGTACTTGTACATGTACATACCAGTACTGCATGTGCATGTTGACCTGTAGTCCTGTACATACTTTCCCTTGACAGCCCTTGTGTAAAATGTTTATGTACAGCATCTTGCTACACGCAGCTCTAGATATTGGTGTAACTGGGGGGGGGGGGGGTGTCATTGTTGGGGGCACGTGTCCCCCAGTGGATGTCCATATCCCCCGATGGCCCCCCAGTGGCCCCCCAGTGGTTTATTGAAAGCTAACTTTGTCTTTGTCTGCAGTGGGCCCTGTTTATGGGTTTTGAGCATGAGAGAATCCACCTGGACACATCCTCAGTTCTGATCCAGCAGCTACCCATCCACCTGCTACGCAAACCCCAGGACTGGCGATCTGGACCAATCACTTACGGTAAAACTGACAAATTAGTAAAGTGTTCAAGGTTCTGCAGCCGATTTCACGAAACCTTACGCAATGGCGCCACTCTGCTAGCGCCAAAATCTATTGTGTAAGTTGCGCAACATTTCACGCTGTGCAGCATTTCACTTATGACGATGCTGCCATTTCCACACCAAGCAAGGCTGAAAAATGTGGCACCATTGCGCTCTCAGGTACCCATTTACTCCTGGGTGGGTAGAAGATGTGACTGACAAAGTGCCCCGCCCAAGCACACTGGCACTATATAACCCCAGACTGGACTCGAACCCACAACCCCCAGAATTTATACCCACAGACAACGAGTTCATTGCTCCAGACCACAAGGCTATGACAGTCCCTAAAGTAACTTAATATACTCTAACATAAAAGTCTGATTATTAGAACTAGCAGATGAGACCAGGCCAATTTCACGGCTCTGCTAAGCAAAAAAATTGGTTTAGCACAAAAAAAGTGTGGCTTATAAAAGCAGGTTACCAGCCAGAACTCCATGTGATGTATATTGCTCATGATTAGTATTCAGCTGTTGTTTGCTTAGCATGAAAATCACGTGGAGTTTTGGCTGGTAAGCTGCTTTTATAAGCCAGACTTTTTTTGTGCTTAACAGCGCCGTGAAATTGGGCCCTGCAACCAGGAAATCAGGAAACCACACTGCTATGTTAGGCACTCCACTACGGTACACATGTATGCACAAAATGTTCGCAAGTCAGCCAGTTTCGCTACATGGATAAATTTTGGGGTTTTTTTTTCATTAGGCGAAGGTGCTGGAGAGAACAAGATGGTGTCCGTGCCGGCGTGTGAAGTCACCGTCGGGAAACCTTTGGACTTCCCCTCCTATGGATGGGACAATGAGTACCCAGAATGCCAGAAAATGTGAGTTGTTATTCCCATTCTGAATGAGGCTTTCTGACAGGCATCCACTTTTGTTTGGTGTATGGGGTTTTAAAGGGAGGCAAATAATCGATGTTCAAAGAGACAAAGTGAAGTTGAAGTTGTAAAAACAACGTAGATATGTATTGTATTGCGGAATGCAATGAATAGGATGCATGTGTGAGATTCTGCAGTTGAATAAATGACTATACATAAATGTGTATACTTTTCCCTTTTACCAATTGTCCTTTATGGCAAACACTGCAAAATTAAAAAATCAGGTAAGACCATTTTGTAGTGTAATTACGTAAAAGAAAAAAGCCCCCCGCCCCCCGAAAACACTGGTTTGCGCGATTTGCTGTTTATTTTAACGTCCCGTGGAACATGTATAGCGACACCTATATTCTAACAATGACCATGAATTCGGTTTTGAGCAGCCCCCTATTGACAGATGGTGTTGAGACCCCCCCCCCCCCCCCCCCCATTTGATTTTATGGAGGCCGGGTGTCCAGTGAAAAACCTGTGTAGCCAGGGTTCTAGCCAGGATGAATTTAAAGGATAAGGGCATGCGACGAAGGTTCTTGCGAGCGCAAAGCACGAAGCCCTTATGGCGTGGGGTGCCGGAAATTTTTGACATTCTAGATGCTCTGTGGTGCAATCTAAGGCCATTTGGAAGCATATTTTATGATCGTAAAAAGAGCAAAACCCTATAAGTTACAGAATGCTGCAGAAAGTGGGCCTGTTGAATTTTGGTGGTTTTTTTTTTTTTTATTATTATTATTTCAATTACACGTTAAAAAAATGCAACACAGTAGTTGGCATTAGATGTCTGTCAAAAAGCATTCGTTACGCCAAGTTTACCTTTTCATGAAATCTTTGCCATTATAGTCAAACCCTGATAACAGTGATTAATAAGAGAACTGTTTATAAACAACATCCTTTTTCATAAGGAAAAATGTAGGTCTCAAGTTTTCATTGTCTTCCATTACTGATAATGTTATTAGGTACCTTTTACAGGAAAATTGTAAAAAGTGGTGGAAACATGAAGAAACACAATTCAAAGCGCGACTAAGATGATCATGATTGGCGAGAAATATGAACATTGACGATGAAAAATAAACACCGGGAATTGCTGCCGGCAAGTTAGCGCCTGTGCTGGCGAATGACAACATTTTTCCGCAGCACTTAAGAGAGTATGCAACCCACCATGTGGCGTCTGACTGGAGCGCTACAAATCTTGCTTTGTGGCAACAGATGCTGATTTGTTTTGTCCTAAGAATAAATAAGTCCTTTTTACAACACAACTTATCAAATTGTTGTGATTATTAACGATTAGTAATGTCAAAACATCAAATGCACGATCGTACTTTCTTCAAAAACAGCTAGCACGATGCACGGGCGAATCCATCAATTTCGGAAGGGTTGATTTAGTGCCAGTTTTGCATTTTACAATGTACGTCGTTTCTTGAATACATTTCCAGAAAGAAAAATATATTGTGACATAGAACAACTGACTGTCGTATAAAGAAATGTTTCAGACTCCATAAAAAGTACTAGTTGTCTTTTCTTCTGTGGACATATTTATAATTATTGTTCCCAAGACAGTACACCCCTTTATTACCAAAAAAATGGTTTGGTCCGATCCTACAGTGTGCGTGTTGCATGCGTGACCGGGGCACGCATGCAATCACATCAGATTCCAACGAAAGAGTTCGCTCACGCACGGCCCGCCGGCCGGCCAGCGCGGCAGTGTATACCGCCAGCGCTCGGTAGCGAACCTCGGTATCTTTTCGTGGGATGTGCTTCCCCTGTTCGTTAAAAAAAATTATTTGCCTCAGGTAACAATTGATAATTCGTTTCAGCAACAGATCTTATTTTATACCAGTACATTTAATACACAAGTAGTGAGAAAACCTTGGGTAGTTTATTTTTGTCACGAAAACTGTGAAGCGTATCGATAGAATATCGGTTAACTTCAAGCGTATCGGATTTTTTTCGAAGCGTATCGGCCCGATATCCTATTGTATGCCTGGCTAGAAGCTTGTGTGTAGCATCTTTGAGCACAGATGAAATTGTAATTGTGACATCCAGCCCCCCCCCCCCACCCAAATCTCACCAAAGTGCAACACAAAAAAGAACATGTACTCCTGTGAAATTGGGAAATAAATACTATCCAATAAAACAAATCACTATCAAAAGAATTACTGTCCAATTCCTCCCCCTAATGCTCTTTGTATACATGTGATGCGTGGAAGGTTTCTCAAAAGTTCAATGTATTTACCACATATCCCATTGTTGTCAACATGGTTCTTTCAATTTCAAGTTCTTTCAATTTCATAAGGGATGTGGTGGTTCATTTTGCGGTTTTTGTGCCGCCAGCTACTTTGTCATGCCGTACTAGTTGACCCTTTGTGTACAGTTTTTTTTTTTCCCAAAACGAAAAGGCATTCATGATAAATCCCCGTGAAATCCCCATAAAAAAAAATTGTTAGCTTCGCTTTGATAGTTCTTTATGCTTCATGGTATGAAACCTTGGAGTACAAAAACCTTCATGAAGGTATTTTTTTTTTTATGAACCCAGTATTTTTTTATTTTCCTAAGGCCAAAAAAAAAAGAGTTCTGCTTCCGATTACATGTCATTCAAAAATAGGGTAGGTAGGTAGGGAATTTTGTTTTTTTTCCCAATTTTTTTGTGTACGATCATATGGAGGCGTATGGAGGTGTTTTTTTCTCATTTTCCAATAAAAAATAAAAAAATTAGGGTAGGGACTGTCAGAATAGGGTAGGTAGGGAAACCGGAAGCAGAACTATTATTTTTTTTTTGCCTAAAGCTTGTTCAGGCTTGAGCTCTGATCAGTGGGGAGAAATTTGCAGCATGTTGAAATTACAGCTTTATCCAAGCATGACCAAAGAAGTTGAAAAGAAAGACAAAAGGAACACATGTTTAACCCAACTCCCTACTTAGTTTTACTAAGTAGGAGACCATGTTCGTCAAAATCCATCACTCACTCTGCTTCACATAATGCCCTGGGAGCAAATTTGATGAAATCCACCACTGGTACTGGTGGGTTTGATGGACTTGGTACACATGGCTCATTTGCCAAAATCTGGCAGATACTGGGATGGATATTGATGGAGTTGGTAAGGCTAGCGTTAATGTAGTCGCTGAGTTTCTTAAAGCTATAGTCCATCATTTGTAATTAGTGCATTTTGTTCGTTTGAAGCAACAAAAGTGTTCAAAATCTAATGAAGGATACTGAACGACTTACTTGATGAGGTTTCAGCTCAGCTTCAGCTTCATATTCCGAGAAAAAACAGCATTCTAGGATCTCAATTTAAAATCAAAAGTTGCTAAATCATGTTTCGAATTGTTTTGAATTGCAGCTTTACGCGATGTCGCGCACTGATCCGACGAATTATAGCAACCGCGCGCGCCTGTGCGTCGTTCCAATGCTTGTGCGCGCTGCGCCGAATAACAAAACGAACAACTAATTTAAATTTTCCTACGGTGCTTCTTAAGAAGCACCGTTGGAAATGCCTTCTTTCGTTGATTTCTTCAAAATGAGAGCTGGCCAGAAAGGATAATTTCACAGGGAGTTTAGTCCCCTTACTATCTTTCAACCAGTACGTTTTTCAACAATAATTACGCCAGTTACTTTTTCGGATAGCTGCAAATGATGGACTCAGGCTTTAATGTAGTCACTGAGTTTCTTAAGCTGTTTTAGAAATGATACGCTTTGTGCACAGTTATTTTGTCCCAGTTCAGGTTCAGTTTTCCCTTTCTTTGTTATATTTGTAGGGTGCCTGCATTTGAGGCTTCGCAGTACTTGATCACCAACCAGGAATTTCTGGCCTTTGTTGAGAGCGGCTGTTATGAGAAGAAGCAGTACTGGACCAAGGAGGGCTGGCAGTGGAGGAACTTTCGCAAGGTGATGCACCCGATATTCTGGATCTGTAACAAAGGTATGCAATGTGATATTGTGACTAGCAAAGTTTTGGTTGCCCAAATAGAAATTCCATGTTTTATTTACAGCTCAAGAGTTAGATTTTTGTACAATGGCAGTAAAACCTCTAAAGATTTTATGCCATCCTTCTCTTCAAGGTAGCGTCCATTTTTGTGCATTACGTTCGTTTGAAGCAACAAAAGTGCTCAGAATCTAAAGAAGGGTGCTGAACAACTAACCTGATGAAGTTTCAGCTCAGTGAATGATGTATAGTCTGAGAAAACAATATTCTAGGATCTCGATTTCAAATCAAAAGTTGCTGAGTTGTGTTATGAATTTGGTCTGAATACAGCGTCCGAGACACATTCTCACTCAGCCGATTGCAGCTACGTGATGTCGGGCACTGAACCGACGAGTATTATAGCAACCGGGCGCGCATCATGCCAATGCTTGCGCGTGCTTTGCCAAATAAAAAACGAACTACTAACGGAAATTTCCAAGAATGCGTCTTTACGCATCGTTGGAAATGGCCTTCTTTCATTGATTTCTTTAAAATGACAGCGTGCAAGAAAGAATAATTTCACAGGGAGTTTAGTCCCATTACTATCTTTAAGCCAAGTATGCTTTTCAACAATAATTACATCAGTTACTTTTTGGATAGCTGCAAATGATGGACTGTGCCTTTAAAAAAAACCAGCCCATATATACAAGTGTGAACTGTAAGGCAATTCATAGAATACCCCCGAAAGACTGTATTGGTGGGAACATACAATATTTTTTTTTACAGTTTTAGGGGGAAAAAAGCAATGCGTAAGTCTGAATACACATTTAGGATTCATTCATATGCACTACCATTTGTGTCTTCTGGAATGCACAGAGTGAACTGAAACATGTCGGATAACTTGTCGTTGAGGGTGCCCCTCTATTTAAGAATTTCAGGACAAAGTGTTAAATAGCTAGCTTGAATCCAAAGAAGTCCACAAACCATAAGTGATTTTCCCTGGTTTCTTCAGTTACTCTATAAAAACACAAATCAAAATTGTGATAGCTGTGTAGAAAAGACTCTCTGGCAGAAGCTGTGCTTTTTCATGTGCACCTGTTATGCCTGTAGCAGGGGAAAGGTCCAAATATGGAAGAAAACTGAGTGTTAAATCCCCAGGTTTTTGCTACAGAGCAAATACGGTTATACCATAGTCATAGCTCCCTTGCCTTAAGATGTTATCACTCATTTGTACTTAATTTTCGTACACTCCTTTTGTTTTTTTTATGTACTTTCGGACATGATTTTGTGACAATGACGTTGTTTGTAAGGTTTCCGTATCAAGTTATATAGGTAATTGGACTGGCTACTGAAACATCTTGAAGTTCATTAACAAAGAGGAACAGGGGGTCGAAGTTCTCCTTGTTATAGGGGACTATACATGTACACCAATGGTGTTGAGTCCTTTAAAGGTGCTGAGTCCTTCAAAGGTGCTGAGTCCTTCAAAGGCGCTGAGTCCTTCAAAGGTGCTGTTGTGCTTGCACCCTGCCAAGCAAGACTTTTATTTACTTCAATAGAATAATTGCTGTGTTGGAGAGCAAGGAAGGTCTTTGTCAAAGCAAGATCAATTTCAGTTCAGTGCACCATATCAGGAGTATTCTACAAGTCTGTTGATGAGGAAAATCAAATCATTGGAATACTTTGATGCTCTGATGAATGTACTTAACTGCACGTACTTAATGCCCTTGCTTGTTGACTCTAGCAGTGCCTGTCCACATATAGAAAATCTTACCAAATTTGGAGTCTAATTAAGAATCGCAGAATCGTTTTTGTGGAAAATTGCCAAGAGTGGGCCAATAGACCAATCCAACCTTCATTGATTTTTATTTTTGGAAAGACTAATTTTATTATTATCAGACTATGTAAATTTCCACTCTCGAGTATAAAATATGGCCCTAAAATGCTCTGTACCGCATCTTGATTTGTGAAGTCTTAGTACCATTTTCAAAGGCCCAAACCCCACAGTTGCATTAAGGTGGTCACTGAAAAATGATAAATGACATCCAATGAGTCTGCTGTTAAAGATATAGTCCATCATTTGTAATTTGTGCATTTTGTTCGTTTGAAGAAACAAAAGTGTTCAAAATCTAATGAAGGATACTGAACAACTAACCTGATGAAGTTTCAGCTCAGTTTCAGCTCAGCTTCAGCTGTATACATGTATTCGGAGAAAAACAGCATTCTAGGATCTCAATTTCAAATCAAAAGTTGCTGAATCATGTTTTGAATTGGGCCTGAATTCAGCGTCTGAGACGTGTTCTCACTGAGCCGATTGCAGCTATACGCGATGTCGCGCACTGATCCGACGAATTATAGCAATCGTGCGCGCGTGTGCGTCGTGCCAATGCTTGCGTGCACTTTGCCGAATAACAAAACGAACTACTAATTTTAATTTTCCTACGGTGCGTCTTAAGACGCACCGTTGGAAAGGCCTTCTTTCGTTGATTACTTCAAAATGACAGCTTGCCAGAAAGAATAATTTCACAGGGAGTTTAGTCCCCTTACTATCTTTCAACCAAGAATGTTTTTCAACAATAATTACGCCAGTTACTTTTCGGATGGCTGCAAATGATGGACTATAGCTTTAAAGATCTGCTGTATGGTTATTCACCTTGTTTCCATATTATTATTTTTATTTTATTTTTCGGTCTCCCAAAACTTAATTTTAATTAGAGAATAAATATGTGTTTGGTTTTAAACAAGTTTGTTTAAAACTGGCTCAGGGGCCTGGACACTGATAATGGCCCCAGTCAAGTACCTTTCATTTCTTTGAGTCAAAAAGTCAAAAAAGGTCAAAAATGATATATTTACAACCATTTTGTTCCACAATTTTACTACATGTTTTTTTTAAACACCTCTCTAGCTAGGTTATGGTATGTGCCTCTCATGAGTAGTCGTAAACATCTCCTTATATGGAGATTGGCGCGCGTGGCACGTACTGCGCGATTGATGCGGCGCAGCACGTAGCGGTGCTGGTGTAGTGCGAATTTAGGACTTGAAAAACGGACTCGTTGGTATATTGCACATGCCAAGAAAGTGAAGATTGTGAACGTTCAACCAATAAAAGGGTAATGGGACCGGATTTCATGTGACACTGGAAAAGTGTTTTAAACCAGCCAGCTGGTGTTTTATCAACTTTTGAAAACCTCCCATGTGACGGGCTCTCGGCCAATAGGAATGGGTAAACTAGGTATTTATGAATAACAAGTACATGTAAATTTATGATTTTCTTTTGTAGGGGGCCTTCTTTGATGCCAGTATGTAGAAATAGAGAGAGAGGGGGGTCATATCGGGAGATTAAAACCAACTGCTCATTTTGAGCAGAGTCTCAAATATGGGCTGAATGTTACAGTTCTTAGCTATTGACTGTCAAAAACACTTCGGCCTGTGCGGCTCAATCCACTTCTTATACAAGCATGTGTTGAGCACCATCGATATATCAATATTACTCAACTATTCCGTATTATTTTTGATATCGATATCACCGATACCAATTTTTTATTCATATCAAAATATAGAAATTTTCAATATTTAGGAATGATATCGAAAATAGTCAGTTGAATATGCGTCAGATTATCGTCAAAATAAATCTCTCGTTTGTGCTTTTACTATGTTTATCGTTTGCTATTTAATGAAAAAACACTCGGCGGCAACTAGTGCTTGCGACTCAAAATAAAAACATTGCAGAATGCCAAGCAGCGTCACTGTGTGCTCTGCGTTCGCTGGAATTCATAAAACCTCAAAGAAACCGCCCGTTCTGGGCAAACTGTCAGTGCTGAGGTTTGTTTTAAAAAGTTTGACTTTGAGTAATATGCTCCAGAGAAAGCCGTTGAAAATTAGGACTTAATCTTGTTTTGTTTTTTTGTGGTTTTTTTTCAATTCAAAGTGTCATCTGTATGGTCTTTTACATGGGATAATCGATATATCGAATATTTTCGATATTGGATTTCCGATATATTGATTATTGAAAATTCTGATATCGACGGTGCTGTGTTACTGCAGGCTGTAGCCAAGTTACATATATTTTGATCGCAGCCTCAGCCGGCAAAGAAAAAGTCCGAAATATTTCTTTCTTTGGATAGACATGATTGAGGGTTAAAAGTGTTTGTTATTATCCCACTGAAAAATGGGAGATGCATGTTTATCTGCACTGAGTTCTAGGGTAACGTACACGTACATGTACATTAAAAAAAAATTGGTGGAGAATGCAGTGTTTCCCCTGCCTATCCAAACGTGAGGCGGCCCACCTCGCTACTTTCAGAGACCTTCTCGCTCAATTTTTGCCAATATCACCACCTCGCTGTGAAGATTTGCAATATTAAGGAAGTGGGTGTTTACATAAATGTGGAGGCCAGTGTGTGACATTAGGGTCAAATTTTCAAAATAACCAAATTAAATTCAGCTTCACATGGTTTTGCAGTCTAGGGTCTATATTTTGTCAAAAACAAAACCATTTTTCTGTAACATGACCCTTTTCAGAGTAGCAACATGATAAACTAGCATATGGGACACAAATTTCACCTGTAACAGTGACACCAAATTGTTAATTTCTTTTAGAACTCTCACCAGGTTATTGTTCAGGTATGGTAAAGACATGTTGCTTTTTAAGCAATTATTTGCAACACATATAAGTTAAAAAAAACTTTAACACTATCCTTGTTCAACATTTGTTGAAAATCAAATATCAAGTTTTAGGAAATTTGACATATTATGATGATTACAAAAATGTAGCTCTCACTTGACATGAAATTATCTTATTTTAAGACAAACACTCACTTGTTCTCTAAAAGCAAGTTTGACAGCCAAAACTGCAACTATGAAGAACAATGAAGATTTACAAACACCACTAGAAAGCATGTTATTGTAAGTAAAGCCTGGTGTTAACCAACATTTCACCTGTAACGCTGACACCAAATAGTCACTGTTACAGAGTGACAATCCTACAACTAACTAATAATAATAGTAATAAATGGTATCAAACCATTTAAACCTTTCTATTTAGTGATAAGCTTGATGGTTTCTACATCAGATACTTGTTTCTGAGACTGGAAGTTTAAATATCAGAGTTTGTTATAATAATCATTTCACCTGTAACGCTGACACCAACACAAAAACACTTTTATCACTTTTCTTCACTGTAGTTCTACTTTAACCTGTCCTATGCCAAAGTTTTCATTGTATTAAAAAACTTGGTCATTATTTTAGCTAAAAACTCAATCATCAATCAAACAGGTGCTTTTGCTTCATTGTTTTCAGACTTCAATAATCACTTAAAATTTAGAATAGTTGACAGTTTCTACAAATATTATAATCAGTGGTAAAGTTCACTCTGTAACAGGATTTGCTGACACCGAATGTTACAGAGTGATGGTATTTTTAGCGGGCATGTCAAAATGATACAAAGTTGCCGATGCACGAACATTGTGTTTAATATTAAGTTTTGGGTTATCATCAATCATTTAGAATTAAAAAAAGACCAACTTTATCAATTGAAAGAATGAAAACTGTGCACCATTGGACAAGCTGTAAAAATGTCATGCAATTTTACCTAAAAATGTCATAATTCTGGCTAATTTTTGATCAAAATTATACAAATGCATTGTGGTGATTTAACTTTTTTTTTATTTCAGTGGGTACATAGTGATATGGGCAATAAAGTAAAAACACAAGTATTAGCAAGTTGGTTATTTTAACATGGAAATGCCCCATGAAAGGAAAGAACATGTGCATTATACCACTGGCCTCCACATTTATGTAAACACCCAAATACCAATCGAATTTACATTTTGTGTAATTTATGAGCGTTTTCCTTGACCTTTATGTATCAAGAACTCACAATTTGTAGATGGAATCATCGCGCATTTTTTGTGAGCACTGCATTCTTTTCAGTTTGCAGACTGCGTAAATTTTGTTTCAATCATCAATTAGAATTTTTACCACCTCGCTCAGTTCATTAGCCAGGGGAAACACTGGGAAAACGTATGGAAATAAGTTAATTAAGAGAGTTTTGTTTCAGCAAATGCTTCCCACATAATTCCACGTATACAAGAAAATGTATGGGAAAAGGTGTCATGGGAGAGATACATGTACATGGGTCCATTTTAGAAGTGATACAAATCATGAAAATCTGACCTCAACAGGTATGCTAGCTTTTGAATATTATTCGATGCGCATCGCTTGGCAATGCTATGCCACGTATTGCCTTTTTCCTTTCTTCCCATTTTGCCTAATTTTTTTCGTATGTATTGTGTCTTGCAATAAAAAAAGATGCGTGGGTAAATAAAATTGGAATTGGCTTGGGTTCATTGGATATTTGCCCACATCTCGATATATTGACCCCACCTAGTCACCTACATATACATGTACAAATTATACTCATGCTGATCATGATATACAGTGTATACTCTGTAGTCAACATGCACATGCAAAGTGCATGTACCCGTATGTACCGGTAGTACACATGTGTAAATGTGCCTGACTGTCACATATAGACGCCTTGGGTATATGCACATCCAGAATATCAGTACTTTTCTCAATACATGTATGCATGCAGACCATGCAGTTCACTCACACATTGAGTGCGTTCGATTACTTCCCCTAGCGTACTACTCGCACCTGGCTCCTTGACAGACATGCACAGTGGAGCTAAATAAACGAACGGTTTCAGGTAAAGTTTCGTGCTAGAGCTGGAAACATGGGCGTCGCCAGGATTTTTTTCTAGAGGAGGGCAAAACATATTTTCCAAAAAAAATTACGTTTTTTTTCTTTCCAACATATTCTTTGTTTATCAGTTTTAGAGGGGGTGGGGGGGGGGGGAATGTTGCAACCTGACGCCACTTTTTTCTTCATATATCATCTCAATAAAGGTCATTCATTGCAAAAATGATGATAAGACATGAATCTGGGACTGAGAAATATTTCCAATTTTGTTAGGAAACAATTTTCTTGACTCTCCATAGACTTTTTACACAATTGCTGAAGTGGCGTCAGGTTGCAACATTTTTCTCAGGCTGCATACGAATCAAATAACTGTCTAGAGCACGTCCACACCCAGTGAAAATACGCGGGGACGCGCTGACAATAATTCGTAGCCGTAGCTCCGTGCATAGAGCTACATCGGGTTGGCAGCTCTATGCTCCGTGGAAACCCGTTTGGGACACGGCCTGAGGCGCCCGCCGGACGTTGCATGGCCTTATGGGATACTTACCCAAGTAACCAGCTCGGCGGGTCGGTTACTTGGGCCAGGCTTGAGTAAGCGCGAGAAGTCACGTGAGAGGTAAATCGAACGTTGTCGCGCTTGCCCGAGTAAGCGCGGGGGAATGAATCGAACACACTGGTTGTGTCCCTCCCTCTCAATGGGCACTCAAAATTGGTCACAAAGCACCATCTACATGTACAATGTACACGACATTGGAACTACTCATGCATGGAGCCAATGGGTCATCTGAGGATCTTCATATTTTTGGCTTTTTCACAAATTTACGAAAAAGCCTTTGTTTTTGTTCTGATTTTTTTTCTTTTTCCTTTTGTTCCACCCCAAATCCCATAGACTTTGTACATGTTTTATTCAGCCCCCCACTTTTGACATAAACAAAGTCATATCCCAGCGAAACTTAACATGGACAAAGACTTGTAGGTAAGACCTATGTAGAAGAGTGATGTCATTATGACGTCATCATGGCCGGGTCACGTGACGTCATCTTAAAGCCGCATATTTTAAAGCCCTATACAGAACTGTAAGTCTGACTGGATTGAAACTTGGTTTGTAGGTAGACCAGGATGTGTTATACATGTAGGTTGAAATTGAGGTGACATCATCATGGCATCATCATGTGATTTTTATATAGATTTTTGAAGGTTTAAAGATTATCACCATATCTCTCGAACCCAACATGCTAAATTCAAAATTGTTTTTGTATTAGGTTTGTTAGGTTATAGATGTATGCACAACATTTTGAAAAATGTGTGACATCATGATGACATCATCAAAAATGTGATTTTCCAAAACACATATATAAGTTTAATTGTTTTGAAACTTGGTGGGTGGGTAGATACTGATACTAATATGCAAAATCCGAAGTGACGTCATGATGACGTCATCACCTGATTTGACATAAAATGCCATCAGATTGACTTTAAATTAGGCATGAACAAGACCTCAAGGTTAGATTGGCCCTGGACAAGTATGTCATGATGATGTCATCAATGGTCTTATGACGTCATCTTAAAGGTGTATATCTTAAGATTTTATATTTAGAGGACTGTAAGTCCGACTGGGTTTGAACTTAGCATGTACATAGACAAGGACGTGTTTCAGACAAAAAACATGGGTGACGTCATGATATGACGTCATCACATTTCATGACACGTCATCTTAAAGGTGCATATTTTATAGTCCTATATATGGAGAACTACAAGAACAGCTCAATAACTTATGAACTATGTTCTTGAATATAATTTTCCTGACTGCATACGAAAAAACAAAACATAAACTCATAAAAAACAATGCGGAAAAGTCCTATGTTCTGTTCATCGAACAGACAAAGATCTAGTTTCTCATTTTTGTGTGTACATTTTGCAGGTTGCCTGTCCAACTGCGGCGGGATACTGGCCGGATACAGCCACTGTCAGCAAGGAATGAATGGCACAGCCAATGGCAACAACACCAGTAACGGCAACAACACCAGTAATGGCAACAACACCAGCAACGGCAACAACACCAGTAATGGCAACATGACCAGCAATGGCAACAACACCAGCAACGGCACCAATGGCTTCACTAACGGCGAGCAACATGCAAACAACAACGACGAGAGCCAGTTCAGGTAGAAACACGATAAAAGGGGACTTGAGAAGATGATCGAGAACAGCATCCCCGATTTTATTTGATCGTATAAGTTGCGTGATATTATTGTTTGTCAAATGCCACATTTTGGTCCGCGGTCATTTTTGGTGGATTTATTTGTTCCAATCCACTCATTGAAAATTTTGCAACAGGTGCAATAAGCCAGTTCGGTAACTCGATAAAGTAGTCCATGTCAAAGGACATTCTGGATAAAATCGCTGACGGGATGATACGCAATGTTACGCTGACATCCATTCTGCTTACGCGAGCGTCGTGCGCCTGTCTCCGTGCGGTTCTTGCGCCTTCGATGAGCGTTCGATTATCCCGAATGACCCGTAACCCATATCATTGTGCGCATGCGCAGTTGAAATACCGCACTGGCTCATTGCAAAACCTGATCTGTGGCCCACTGAATTCCCGACAGGGCATGCCATATGTGTACATGTACATGTAGGCTGGTGCATGTACATGTACATGTAAAACGTTATTGGCATGTTTTTGAATATACAAATACTGGATCAAATTCAATTTCAAGTATCCGAATACTAAACTATTCAAATATGCACAGCATTGGGAACAGTTTTATGGTGGAAACAGATTTTACAATTTTCTGAATGGAAAACAGATATTTTTGAAGTGGAAACTCAGTGGCCCTATCAGTACTTGAATAATGTGTATTATGTATTTTTATAGCGCTCGTATCCACCAGTATTAGTTCTCAGGGTGCTACCTCATTATTACCCTGCTCATTGGGCCAATGAAACATTCCAAAGACAATATCAGATCCCTGGGGAGTATACAGCTCCATGCTGCCATTTCTGCACAAAGCAGCTAAAATCAATTACAATAACCATCTCTGCCCTCACAGGTACCCATTTACTCCTGGGTGGAGACAAGCAATAAGTGACAAAGTGCCTTGCCCAAGGGAACACATACCATAACCCCAGGCTGGACTCGAACCCACAACCTGCAGAATTACCCACATACCACAAATTCAATGCCCCAGACCAGGAGGCCACGAAACTCCACTTGAAGGCATATTTAGGGAAGTCTTGAGATGGAATTACATGTACATGTATAACAAGGTGCTATGACAGTCAAGCCACTATGCAAAAGCGTTAAGCTGGAGTGGATTTTCATGTCAAACTGAAAAGTGCTACCGGTAAATTACACCAAAAGAGCAAGGGTTTGCTTCATTCTCCCCATTTTTTGTAATGCTTTCCATCTTGTATATTACATGTACTTGGCCTGTAGGCTGCGCACACTCTGTGAAGAGATCCCTATGCCATGGGACTGGCCTGTCGCCGTCAACTACCATGAAGCCAAGGCCTACTGTAAGTGGAAGGGCCCCGAGTACCGTATCATGACGGAGGCTGAACATGCTGCCATCAGAGACAAACAGGTATGCTGGTAGAACAGAGATTTTGTTAAAATTATTTTCAACCCCTGCTCCTTAGGCCTATGAAATATTCAGATGCACACTTGTAACACTTTCATCAGTTGTAACCAGTCAGATTGCCCACATGAACAGTGCGCAGGGCCTAATGGATTGGTCGATTTCAAGGTCACTGTTCCAGTTCTAAGTATGTGTCCTAAACGGGCCTCAAGAGCTACAGCCAAGTCTTTTGAAAGCATTTTCCCATATATAGTTGTATGTTTAAAAAACTTAGACAATAGCTCTAGAAGAAAGATTTAGTATGGGAATAAATATGTGCTTGGCTGGTTTTAAACAAGTTCGTTTAACCCTAGGGCCGGGTTATTTTGACCATCCCTCAGCCGAATCCCCCCCCCCCCCCCCAAGATCTCGGCCATCAAGTTACAAAAAATTTTGAAACTCGGTACATGCATTGAGCAACTCATCATAAACATACTCAAGACATTTCATGACTATAGGTCAAACACGGCCATAGTGCCGGAAAATTGTTATGGTTCGATTTTTATGTTTTTGCTAACAAAAATGCGCAAGGCTCGAGGCTAAAAAGTCATAACAACTCGGGTTGCGAAGCAATTTTTTTTTAAGGCTATCGCAGAAAAAGTCCCTCCCCCCCGGCCCTTTTAGGGTTAAGACCGGCTTGGGGAATGGATGCAATTATTTCCAATCATAATTACCTTTTCGGTCAAAAAGTAAAAAGCAAGTCCAAAATTATAAATTACCAATGATTTTGTTCAACAATTTTACTTCATGTTTTTTAAATACCCCTCTAGCTATGTTACGGTATGTGGCTCTCCGACTTGTCGTAAACAACTCCTTATATGGAGATTGTGAATTTAAGATTGTGAATGTTCAACCAATAAAAGGGTAACAGGGACCAGATTTTGTGTATTCATGTACTAATTTTTTCCTGTTGAATTGACTCAAGTCATTTTACATGACTTCGTCAGTCGGCTCCACCCGTCTGTTGGACACCATTCATAAGATGGAATTTGTTGGACACCAGTTGGGAAATGGGTGTGATATGCATGTATATTTACTCCTCCAGGTACCAGTCAAGTGTGGCACATCTGCAGACATCTTGTATCACGGTGATCTACAGGAGAAATACAACACTAACTTGGCCTACACTACCAACACTGTAAGTCAAAGGCCCGTCCCCTCCAATTTGTGTGTGTGTGAGTATGTAAACACCGGCAATCACGGATTTACCCCGCTAGGACAAAAGGGTTAGGCTAGAAACAATACGTCCATGATTGACCGATAGTCCACAATTGAAATTCGTGTACAAAACGAGTGAATGAGAGCTGTCGCTAAAAAGTACAAACAAAGGAGTGAGGATTAGGGACAATAGGGGGTCCACAATTGCCAGTGTTTACAAAGATGGGTGTGTGTGGGTGGGTAGGCCGTCACCGGGTTATGGGGAAGTTTTTCATTGTTAGGGTAAATGGGTCTGAGTTGTGGGGACTTTTTGCTAACCCAACAGCGTTTTTGGTACCCACAAATACGGCGTAGAGATGAGTGTATGTCCTCACAACTACGGAACAAGATTGCATGTGTGGTCAGGCCGTCACCGCGTTATGGGGAACTTTTTTATTGTAAGGCAAATTAGGACCGGGTTATGGGGACTTTCTGCTGTCCCCACAGCGTCTTTGGTCTCCATAGTACCATGGGACAACTCGTGTGTAGTCCCCACAACTACGGAACAATTCTGTGTGGGTATACACATACATGTACACACATTCGAATCATGGGCCTTGAACAAGAAGACCTGTAAGAAATTCACCAATGATGCCGTTAATAACCTGAAGAAAAAAATCTGACTGAGTGTTTTTCATGTCATTTTCTCTCTAGCCTGTCAACCTGTACCCACCCACCAAGCGTGGTTTCTACGACGTTTTCGGTAACAGTTGGCAGTGGATGGAGGATCACTTCAACGGTCTACCAGGCAGCATGTCGCATCACCTGTATGACGACTTCAGTACCCCTACCTTTGACGGAAGACATAACGTGATTTTGGTAAAGGATAATGATATTTTTATTAAACAGAGGGGATTTGCATACAAGGGGATGGGGTAAGCCCACCGGAAAGGGCATCGGTATTCAGTGTTCTCCAACTTTGGAAATTAAAGGTTGGTGCGCCATCAAAAAGCGGAGGGGGGGGCGCTATAATTATGTTAGGGGCGCTATTTGCTGTCACACATTTCTTTATGCTAGGGGGCGCTATTTGCAGATGAACATCTGCCATTTCTAACACAGTAACACTAACAATTAAGTACAATACTGGCTCAGCATCATCTTTTTATAACACATCTGTGACCAGGGACTCTCAGGCAGTTTGGCCTTGAGACTTTTGACCTGATTGATTGCTACAATGGGCAGGCTTGTCAGTTTGACGAATGTTCCATGTTACTGCTTTTGGCAGAGTTTCTGGCCAAAATGTACCCTGGAGGGTAAGGGTAGTCCCACTTGTTTTTCTTTTATATAAATTTTTTCATTTTTTTTAAGCATGGTGGGCAACCTTTTAAGCTTGGCGGCAACTTTTGAAGCTTGGCGGGTGCCTCAAAAAGCTTGGCGGGGCACCAGGTTATATTTACAGGTTGGAGAACACTGGGTATTGCAGTCTGGTCCCTCACAGATCTAGTCACACGTGACAAGGGATGGACACTAACGAAGGAATAGAACTGCGACTGTTCATTTGAGTAGCTTGTGACTTGACTTGAGACTGGAGGGGTTTGTGATGGACTGGACTACAACACTGATAGGCTTGTGAGGTCATTTTATGTCACTTGTCCAAACAAAAATGGACATACTCAGTCGAATTGTGCCAAAGACACGCAAGTGTGAAGCGAGGAATCTGTCCATCATTTATTGCCTATTAAATACTAATTGTCTAATAAAGTTTGTTCTTTGTTCTCTTACACCTCTTTTATTTTCTCTGTGTACATTACATGTTCAAATTGATCTCTCATCCACCCCACCCCACACCCCCTCCCCCACACCCCCTCCCCCCCCCCCACACCCCCTCCCCCCTCCAAAAAAGCTATATATGTACATGTTTGAATGTAGTTGAAATCAGATATGTAAATTTCTAAATTTGACATATAGTATGTCCCAAAAAAGTGTCCGTCTAAATATTTTTGAAATAACTACAAAACCATGATGTCAATTTTGAAAACTTTTGATGGTGCAAATACCGTAATTTTCGGAATATAAGCTGCAGCTTATATGTTGAATTTGCCCATGAAAATGTTTACAGCGGCTTATACACAGGGCGGCTTATACGCCGAGCCTTGAAGAATACAAATGAGATTCAAATGTGTATTTAATGTACTGGTACAAGAAAACATCTGTTGCTGAAATGAATTATCAATTAGAAAGTCATTATCAATTTTGAAAACTTTTGGTGGTGCAAATACAGTAATTTTCGGAAAATAAGCCACAGTTTATACGTTGAATTTGCCCTTGAAAATGTTTACTGCGGCTTATTCACAGGGTGGCTTATACGCCCAGCCTTGAAGAATACAAATGAGATTCAAATGTGTATTTAATGTACTGGTATAAGAAAACATCTGTTGCTGAAATGAATTATCAATTAAGAAAGTCATTAACAATCCGGAAGCACGTCCCACGAAAATAAACCGAGGGGTAAAAAGTACAGCTGCAGGCCGGCCGACCATGCGTGAGTGAAAGCTGTCTGTATTCGACAACCGGCTGTACGTGATACTGCTGCATGCATTCCCATGGACCACACCATTTGTGGAAATAAAGGGGTGTACTTTCTTGGGAAAAACAATTACCAATATTTTGCTGTTAAAAAAAGAAAAGAGACAACGAATACTTTTTATGGAGTTCAAATCATTTTTTTATTTGATAAGCAGTTGTTCAACGTCACAATATAATTTTTTTCTTGAAATGTATTCAAGAAACGACTTAATACTCAAAACTGGGGCTAAATCACCCCTAAGGAAATTAATAGATTTGTCCATAAAAATGTTAGTATCGTGTTGACTGTTTTTAAAGAAAGTTACGATCGAAACTTGAATTTACTCGTTAGTAATCACAACAATTCGATAACTTTTGTTGTAAAAATGGACCTATTTATTTTTAGGACAAAACAAATTAGCATCTGTTGCCACAAAGCAAGATTTGTAGCGCTCCAGTCAGACGACACATGGGTGGGTTGCATACTCTCTCAAGTGCTGCAAAAAAATGTTGTCATTTGCCGGCACAGGCTGCCGGGCCATGCACTAACTTAGGCCGGGGACTGGAGGGGCCAGCCGGCAGCATTTCCCGGTGTTTATTTCTCATCAATTTCCATATTTGTTTGTAAGAGTATCGACTGTAAATGATTTGATATAACTTTTGTGGCCCTTTTTATAGCTTTCGTAGTGTAAATGGAACTGGTTCAGAGCATTTTGACAAGCATTTGGAGGCCTTACAAAATTGAAACCGCTGCGGGCGGTGCGGTTTATACGCCAGTGCGGCTTATACGCCGACTTCAAATCTTAATTTGCAGATTTTTGCGTGCTGCGGCTAATACTCCGTGCGGCTTATATTCCAAAAATTACATTACTCATTATCCTTGGCCTAAACCCCTCCATGTTTCATTTAATTTCAGTCACACATCAGTGCACAATAGTCAATTGATCACAAAAACATTTTTGGACACTGTGACCAAGTTCCTTGCCTTAATCAATTTCAGTGCTGTGTTATGTAAGCTGTGTAAAATCCTTCATGTCGTGAAATAAACGTCGATGTGGTTTGGGATTGGAATCATTTGCCCTTGAACATTGAACTGAGGTCTCGCCAGGATGACTGATAGCCACGCAAATGATTCCAATCCCAACCGCAGCCCTTTTCACAACATGCAGGATTTTACACAGCTTACATAACACAGCACTGAAATTCATTAAGGCAAGGAACCTGGTCACAGCGTCCAAAAATGTTGTTCTCATCAATTGAAAACTGCGTAGTGGTGCGTGATTGCAATTAAATGAAACCCATAGGGGTTAATAGGCCAAGGATAAGGAACATCTGCACAATCAACATTTTCAAAATTGACTTAATGGTTTTGCATTTATTTCAAAAATAGCTAGGTGGACACTTTTTGGGGGACATACTAAAGTGTACAAATTTCTCCAGCATACAGTTCTGTGATGCATAAAATAATGAAAAACATTCTGAACCCAATGTTACCCTCAAACACCACAGAGTAAGAGTACAGAATTTAATTGTGTCCACATTTTTATTTGAAGGGCGGATGTTGGATGTCTACAGGTGACGAGTCGTCTCGGTTTGCGCGATACGCTTTCCGCAGACACTTCTACCAGCACGCGGGCTTTCGCATCGTCCAGTCTGTGGATCGCAGTGACACTCTTCCTATTGCCCTGGTGTGTGGGCTCGATGGTTCTACTGAAGGTATTGCATAGTGGACAGTGATGAGGGGTATTGTTATAAATTTGACCAAAGGTAGAGTGCAGTCAGAGGGACACTTGAGTGATAATACAAAGCACCATGTACTCTCCGCATAGTTAGTACCACATGTCAAAAAAAACCATGTCCTACAAAAATGTACTTTTGATCCTAAGAAACTCTGTTGTTTACCAATCGAATTAAACCGACATTTTAGATCATGTAGAAATGCCAAATTTATGGAGCGAGTTTCATCAGCTTTGTGCAAGAGGGTGAGATTTAAGTGCCATACAAAAAAAATACTCACTTTCAGAATCTGCCACTTTTGATTTGGCGTCCTCCAATGTCGATACAGCACTGGAGACGGTGGCTAAAGGCGCATGCTGCAGCCGAAAGCTTCTCAAGGAATGCCGGATCACCCCTGATGCCATTGCACACCTCCTCGATCGTTTGGCGCAACACACGATTGTGGAGGTGTGCAGTGACATCAGGGGTGATCCTGTATTCCTTCAGAAGCTTTCGGCCGCAGCATTCGCCTTCCGCTACCATCTCCACCTATTAACATTCTGAAAGTGAGTATTTTTTTCACATGGCGTTAAAATCTCTCCCTCTTGCACAAAGTTGATGAAACGTGCTCCATAAAATTTGTCATGCCTTTTTTCAATGATCTGAAATTTCGGTTTAATTCCAATGGTAAACAACAGAGTTATTTAGGATCAAAAGTAGGACATGTTTGGTTTTTTTGACACGTAGTACCAAACGTTTTGGCAGTATACATTTTGTGCAAACAACTCCGCCCTAAAATTGCAGTCACATTAATACTTTTTCTGAATAGCAGTGTCTCACAAGAAGTAAAATGGTCAACATTCCTTCATTCGTTTTCTTTTCAGATGTCTGCCTGCCCGCGGGGACTAAAATCGATCCCCCCATGCCCTCCACCAACACGCAGTTAGCTCATGAATCGGATGCCGAGCTGAAGGCGCAACTCCTGGCGGAATACGGAGCAGAGCAGGGCAGTCTGGCCAGCCAGCTGGCACAGGTCAGCCACCAGGCTCTGCAGGCTCAAGGCAGCAATGCAACCATGGCTCTGGACCTGCAGTGCGGCTGTGGCAGGCTCAGCTTTGAGTTGTCCAGATTCATGAAGGAGGTATAATTTTTGTCGGGACGGGTGAGGAGAGGGAAGAAAAGAGGTCGGGGGGGGGGGAGGGTGGGGTGGTGAGTTTGCCAGATTCTGATTTTGTTCGCTAGATTATCCCTCGGGCCAAAAAATGTTTTTCGGTAACCTCAGCTATCCTTAATTTTTTGGTGCACAAAGATTACCCCTGCACCAAAATCTGCTCACTCTGCTGAAAATCCATGGCATGTTCTTTGCAACTCTATAAATCGTAAGCCTGAAAAGATCATTCTGTTAATTTGATTTATCAGTCATTGTGTTGGTTGTTCTAATTCTGTTTTGGCTTGATGAATTGAAAACGAGTTTGTTGAACTGAAGGCTTTCTTTCGGAAGCTCCAGGAACACTTGCCAAAAGATTGTATTCTCAAATTCCACATGCAGAGCTCTTTCAAAGGATTTTTTGATGATGAGCACAGAGACAAACATACATATAATGTCATAACCAATGTTTTGAAAATGTGGGCGAATAAGTGGTTATTGAAACTTCTGTTGCCATCTTTTAAATGGCAAACCAACAGTTCGCGCTGTACTGATGCGGTGGCTGGAAAAACTCTCTTTTGAGGAAACAATCGGACAATCTCAATGACAGACTGCTAGCTTATTCATTGGTACTCATTATTGTTGAGTATTATAATAATGCAGTTGGCTGCAGGCCCGACTATCAGAAAAAAATAATAAAAACAAAAACGGGATGACTAATCTTTGATGGAAAAAATTTAGGTACATTTTTGTACTTGAGGGCCTCACTAATAGTTTCAGCAGCAGTTTTCACAAAACAGTGCATAAAACACACCTTGATAGGATTTAAGCAACAAATGTATGCAATAAATTGTGGCGCAAGTACAAGAAGACTATGCCATTGCGTAAAGTTTCGTGAAATTGGTGGCAGGGATCTACAAAACTGGTTTCATAAAAAAAATGCAACTGGGATATTTTGATAATCGACAAAGAAAAAGAGGTTTGAATGACAGCAAAGTGTGTTGCACCTTAACAAAACCATGCTGATTTTCTTGCCGGACGTTGAGTAAAGCTCACTTAACTGATTTGAAGTCACTGATTTGAAGTCATTGTGCAACTCACAATACTCCAATTTCCTAACCCCAATTGCAAATCTCTGTTCTTATCGTCGAATGCTTCCAAGGTTCTGGCCATCGACTACTGCCAGTCCTTCTTGACAGTAGCTGAAACCATCCAAGACAAGGGCCGTTACCAGGCAGTGATGCCTGATGGGAAGACTCTTGCTGTTGATCTGCCAGAGGGGGTGAACCAATCCCGGGTCAACTTCAAACAGGTCAGGCACACGTGACTGGCAGTTGATGATGTCATTTCACAAGTACTTTTAGGAGGTTTTAATTACGGGAATATTGCTTGGCCGGTTTTTATAAACAAGGACATTAAAGACAGGCTTGGGACCTGGATGCCGATAGTCGAAGGCAAGGGACGTTAATGGTGACCAGGCCCCAAGCTGGTATTAAACGTACTTGTTTAATACCGGCCAAGCACATATTTATTAAGAACCTTTTTGGTCAAGAAGTCAGAACAAGTCAAAAATTATAAATTTCCAACGATTTTGTTCAACAAGTTTACTTCATGTTTTTTTAACACCCCTCTAGCTATGTTAGGGTATGTGCCTCTCACAAGTAATCGTAAACATCTCCTTACATGGAGATTGACATGCACGTGGCGTGTACTGCGCGATGTGTTGCCCGACAATTTGTTTAGAAGGAAAAAATTGACCATATCAAAGAGCGCGGGTAGAGCAGTCCCCAACAGTCCTGAATCCTCCAATTTCAATACGATTTTGCACACCCCCTAGGGAGTTAGGGTTAATTAAAGCTCATCTTCATTGTTTACCTCTCTGTTCACCCTTTTATTTTCTCATGTTTACTTTTCAAACCTGTAGTTTCTGTACATGATAGGAACCCATGCTGACATGCACACTTGATGGCAAAATGGCTATAATGTGCTGTGTCCTTCAATCACAAGAATATTTTCACTTTATCGCTGAGGATGTATGTGTACTTGTACACACATTCTTGTTCCCTAACTGTGGGGACACACACGAGTTGTCCAATGGTATTATGGTAACTGAAGACGATATGGGGACAGCAGAAAGTCCCCATAACTCAGTCTTAATTACCCAGGCATGCAACTTTTCCTCAGATCAGCTGATTTCCTCTTTTTTAACTTCCCATGTGTGCCATTGAAAATAGAAAAACACTGTACAAAGTTTGGGAAAAATTTGAATTTCCTCTTTTTTTTGTGATTTCCCAGTTGCATGCCTGATTACCCTAACAATTAAAACTTCCCCATAATGCGGTGACGGTCCGCCCACAGGTTCAAGTAGATTTGAGTTACACAACCAGAAACACTTCTTCAGCTTTCATGTCGACTTTTTGTGTAACTGTTTGATAAAATGTTGTAATTGCTCATGCTATGGGCTCAGTGCACAAGTACCCCTTCAACGGCCAGAAAAGGAGAGTTGGGGGTGACCGGTTCATCCACTGCGTATTTCAAATGATTCAAAGTTATTTGGGGGCGGGTATTAGTCTGCGAGACCATCGCAAGTTAAATTCGAACATATTCACGCGCCGACGACGCCTGATGCTCACACGCGAAGACGCTATGGCTTAGCTTTGTGCACATTCAGGATAAAGAAGTCGTGCGTATTTCGCGCGCGAACCAGTCCCGTACGCGCACACCCACACTTAGCTTATGGGGTACCATTATTGTTCGACCCGTATCCCTTTCTTTTGTTCTCCTGTGTCCCCTTAGAAATCTCAAAACACATAGCGTTAGGGCTATGGGGTACTTCAATTGCTAAAGACGGACTTGCGGGTACCATTGTCCCTATTGTTGCCCTTTGTTCCCGTTACCCCATAAGTGCCAATATGTACATGTAAGAGCACCGTGTCCTGTCCAAGGGGCTCTCCAAAGTGGTAAAAACGCACCCTCTTTGTTGGCGCACGGAGCCCTTATCAGTATGTTACATGTACATCTACTTCTTGTTTCTTTCCAGTATCTTTAGTTGCTTTGTGCTCGCGCTCATTTTTCTCAGATGTTTGTTTTTTTGTATGATGCAGTTCACCTGGATTCCCAACGAAATCATGAACTTTGACCTTGTGGTGATGCAGGGCATCGACCGGGTCATGAACAAGAGAGGTTAGTGGGTTAAAAAATAGGGTTTTTTCTTTCAGTTGTAGCCCCCTCCCAAAACTGTAACAATCACCCATCTTAATACCAGTCTTGAGTAAAAAAAAAAAATTAATCACTTTCAAAACTACAAACATTTTAACACCACCAAAAGTTGTGTGTAACAGAATATCACATGAAGTTTCACAGTCATTTCAACACTAGAATACATTTGTCCATTCGGTCTGACATTTGAGCGACTAAAAATTATCCAGATAAGATCACTTCCATGGCAGAATTTTGTTGTTGTTTTGTCCGCAATTATTTTATACTTTGAAGTGTCATAATTTTGGCACCTGCATTTATTTTCCCTTGTACGCATAGCTGGTTGTACCTTTGTGTTTTCTATGTCTTGTTTCATCATTAGTTTCCAGTTTTTAAGAAGAGATAAAGAACATATACATTTTTTTTATTACATTTTTTTAGTTGATGTTGATTCTATTTTCTCTTTTCGACAAGCTTTGCTTTTATTTTGTTTCTTCTTTCTACTTAAACTGATGCTTTCAACCAACTCAAAATTTGTCTCAAACCGTCAAATTCACAAATTTTGAGTTGGTTTAAAACAAACTCAAAATTTGTCTCAAACCATCAAATTCACAACACAGATATCTGTCACACAAGAAGTTTAGTAGAAATCATTTCAAAATGGCATTGTGATTGACAAAATCTTGCTGAAATTCTTTATTTCTTATTTCCTCTGAGTGTGTTCCTTTCGTGTTTGTGATGTTTCCTTGTATTCTTATTCAGGTATTCACAATACCGTACATTATATTGTACTAGCTTCAGTCATTGTCAGTGGCCTTGCGGTTGCTTTGAAGAAGCCACTTGTTAATTCAAGTTTGGAGTCTTGCATTTATAATCATACAGTCCGTGCAACAATATTTGCTATAAAATACTTACCCCCAAATCCGTCTATTTCTGAAAATTACAGCAAGAGCAAATGTTGTACATGTATATTCCCTTTATATCTTCCTACACACAAATGCATTTAGAAGCTTTTGAAAAAACGAAAGAAAAAATGTATCACGGTAGAATATTCATTTGCATGCATTCCCCCGATATATCAAAACAACTCAATTCCTTGTTGTATATATACTGTATGTAGTGCAAAATGAACATAATTTCGCAATGGCAACTTTTCCGTATTGTGAATCACCTAAATTGTTATCATCGATATTGTCTGTTTCACCCCATGTTCCTGAAAAAAAAAAAATTCCTGTCCATTTGTCTGTGTGTACCAGTATGTTTGTTTTTGTTTTGATGTTATTTTGCCATGGAAAGGGTCTGCATACCGGTACATGAATGAATGTCAATGACTTTTCAGGAAAGCTCATAGGGTGGGTTTGCAAAACATTTCGAAATATTTCTTCCCATTGTTTGAGAACCTGCAAAATGCAAAGCCAGGGTCATTTTGCAGGTTCTCAAAAAAAGGGAAGAAATATTTTGTATATATTGAAAAAAGTGACCAACGGCTGAAACAATTCTTTTGTCGTAAAACTGAATAATTACATTGTTCCCAAATTGTGAAGATAATGCTTTTGGGGGGGCGAATCTTAATTTTTGGTGAAAATAAAATCGAGAAACTTTTCCTATAAACACGATAAAGGTTTCATTGTCTTCAGAATCAGCAAATGTTTTGCAAGCTTGCTGTGAGTTTTACTGTGTGTAATTATACATTCTTTTGATTGTTTGTGCGTGTTCACACGTTGTATGGAGGGCACCAGGAAGACCGGCCATGCAACGGTGTGTGTCAGTTTATTATAACATGACTCTTTCCTAGCTTTTGAGAAACATTGCCATAGATGGTTGTGTTGAACTGTGTTGAATAAATCACTGTACACTATGTATGTTAATTGTGTGACCAGTGAGGTATCCAGAAAAGGGGGAGGGCCTACCTATTATCAGAGTTGCAAGAACTAGCTTCACAACCACCACCCCACCCACACTCCCACCCTAGTTTAGAAAAAAAAATTAGGCACAAAAAAGTTTAAGCACCTTTGTCCCTTTCCTCTATCCCCACTCCCCCCCCCCCTCCCCCGCAAAATGCTGGATACGCCACTGTACTCTTGTCTATTGTGATCTCCATATATTAGTGGGTTTTGATTGGTGAAATTTGATACTCAAACCCCCCCCCCCCCAAATAAAAAATCATTAATCAAAACAAAAACTTTATTCAGGTGTTCATTGCAAAAATACTTGTGAAAAGTTGGTACGGCATTATCTTGTGGATAAGTACATGTACACGTACTTCACAACAAAGATGGTTCACAGAACTGAATCATCACAGATGTTCCCCCATATAAGAAAAAGTATCAGTTGTTTTACATGTATGTTCTGTTAACTTTGCTTTGTGTCCATTGCATTGAGTACAAATTGAACCAATCACAAACCACATTGCATTTTTGTTTCCAATGTGACCATAACTAACCCATGGTGTGAGGTGTGTTTGTTTCTCAATGATTCTATTTTTTCCTCCTTCTTTACTTCAAACACAGGGGTAAGACATGTTATAACTGCCATAAAACTTCTTCAACCCTGCAAGTCTAAACCTTAGTTGCTAAACATAAATAGGGCTTTCCTAAATGAAACGCTAAACCGTCACTGCTTGTGGCCCTCAGTGTCAGGGATGGTGATTGGTCAGAAGCCGCTCATGAATATTCAGATTTGTAGTCTTTGTAACCAGGGGAGTAGCCAAGTGTTTTACACAAATTCCCCTTTGAAATTTCCACACACACAAAAATGAAGGAAAAATCAATTAAATTTTCAAATTTAGATTAATGAAAACAACATTTTCAAGGAATTAATCTCATTTGAGATGTTCAGATCTTGAAGAGACTACTGATGTTGCCTCGCCTCGGGTTTTGTGCAAAGATAGCTGTCGATCCTCAATTCGGCCAAAAGCCATCCATGTTCGTCTTTTTTCATTCTCAAGTTGAGTAAAAAACAAATCACCGGTAACCATCCCTGAACTGAGTGTCAGAGCATTAAACTTATCCGGAGAAGTTGGTTGGACTACCAGCTGTTCATCCCTGCAAGTCTAAACTGAACCTAAACTTGACGCTAAACCTAAATATTTTTGAAAGCGTAAGTATCCCTTCTATCTGGCTGTTATCCCCCCAATAAAATGAAACCACTCATATTTGCATTATTTTGGTCATTCAGACTTCTTTTTTTATTGGATTTCTTTTTCCAATTTGTTATTTGTGAATAAATCATCCCTGTCATCCTGATTTTCTTTTATTTCTTCCTCGAATTACTTTCCCACAATTTATCTGGACTGTCTATAAAACCTTTTTATTTTCATTTATAACTTTGTCTTCCTTTTGTGAGGCCTTTTCCCTTGGTCTTGTCCCTCCTCTGTCTCTAGTTATAGTTCATCCTCCCTGCCCTAAACCCCTCCCCAGCCCCTCTGCCAGCCCCTACCCTCATCCATTCAACCCTACCCCAAACCCCACTCCCAACCCCTGCCCAAACCGGTCTGGAAAATAAATCTTAATTGACTTACCTATCACTCCCAAAAAAAATCCAATCCTGAAATCTTAAGAAAAATCACCCATTAGGATGCCAGATACAAGGGGTTCTTACACCCACAACGACACCACAACACCTCGGTTACAACAGGATCTGACGGAAAGGAAGGAAACTTCATAGTGGTGTACGTTGTGGGTTTTTTTTTAACCTAAATGATGGATCAGTTAACGCCATGCCAACTTGCCCCGAATAGTTTAAAACTTAAGCTTTCTTAAAATATGGACATTTGAAAATACCTATTCCGGGTTTGGAAATATCTTCCAAATTGCCTTGGAAATGTAGCACCAAAGGAATATTTAGTGTCAATGTGAGAACTACTCTGTCGATTTGATTTTATGTCTTAATTTGCATAAGTGATTCTAGCTTTTGGTGGTTTTTTTTTTTAGATTTCCAACATGAAAATTCAAATTTTTCCAAAAATTGTGCTGAAATGTAGAGAACTGCCATTCATCACGGAAAGATGTACCAAAACCAAAGTTCACAAACACGGCATGCATTTATTAATTGGCACCAGCATTGACTGATCCTAAGATATAATCTAAACATTTAGTTAAACTAAACTTAAAACATAAAATTGGTGTGCTCTCCAGGTAGAAGGTAAGCGGCTTTTGTCTCCTATTCCGAGATCTGCCCTTTCCTTTGGCTCAGATTTTTAAGATTGAAAGTTCTGTCCCCAGTTGGGGGCATAATGTCATATTCATTCCAGCCGTGAACGAATGCCTGTCATTCTACTCATCATCTCCCCCCAAAAAATGCTTTAAATTCCTAACAATTGTTGATTCATGATTGTTGCTTTTGAAATTGACGCTTTGCCAATTTTCTAACACTTTTCTTTCCAGTTTACAGGCGTATTTGTGCTTCAGGGAAATGCCTTTTCATAGACGGATGTGCTTGCTTGTTATTTTGCTTTCACCTTTTTTTTTTTTTTTTGAGATTTGTGCATGGACCTTTTGGAAATTAGACAGCAAATACACTTGTATTTGCAAATTTGCATATATTTTTTTAATTTATATTTATATTTTTGAATTTTCGGGGTATTAGCTTTAATTAGTTATCGAAACCAACGTGATCAAGTTTGGATCTCGGAAGTGAAATGAGGTCATTGGCACATACCATCAGTTTCCTCTGTTTAAAAGCAGTGCCATGTTAACATACACCTGGTGTCACATTCAGCATACGTAAGAAATTACAAAAGTCCCTGCACTCGAGAACATGTTTACCACGAAATGTTAATTGTTGGAAAGATCGTTAAAAAGTAAAATATAAACATTCACCTGGGGAATTTGCTGATTTTGTGTAATTACGTCACAAAGGAAATTTGGGGGAAAAAACGTTGCTCCTAAAAGAAAAAATGAGCCGTTGGAGTGCTAGTCATCATTTTGGTCAAATAAATTTCATTTCAAACTGTTCTTCGAGCACATGTGCAGATAGGATCGTCACGTGTATCATTTTGATTCTAGTGTGGGACCTGATATCTCTCAGTGGGTTGTCGCATGCATTTTGTGTGCGGCACCAGTCTATTTTTGACAGTGGCTCAAAATTATATGCTTGAAAGTTGAAACTACATATGGACAAGGCCAAAAACATCTGCCACTTCAGATGTTATTTGTAAACAGACAAGATTTTCCAACAGTTACTGCATAATCATAAGATTTAAGACATACATGTGGATACATTTCCAATTCCCTAAACCTTTGAATTACGACAATCTAAAACGCGAAATCTGGCTGAATAATTTCGTTGACCACGGTGACTTTGCAATGTATTTTGTGGTACCAAGATGCCAGACTTGATCATAGAATTCAGCTTGTGTGCATGACTGCTTTTCAACCAGCTTGATCTGATCTATGATCTGATTGACTACAGCTAGGTTACCTTTCAAAGGATTTATGCCAAGTCAGTGAGGAAGGCTTATGTACGCCTAGGACTAGCCCAAACCACAAGGTTTTAGGATTTTTGGAGCTAAGTAGTGGTTGATTCAATCTCATTCAGTTCCACAACCTTCATGTACTAAAATGTATAACACATAAGTGTTGATATGTTTAAAGGGGCTGTTTGTATAGATTGAGTTTTTAATCAGGGGTATTAAAATGGGGGGGGGGGGGGGTTGTAGGTTAAGTGTTTATTTCTCACCAAGTATGAGATTTTTCAAATTTTGTCTGAAATCAGACTGAGAGACAGTATTAGACAGAAATGCATGTATTGGACCCTTCATTCAACTTTCAGACCTTGACAATTGGTGTCACCCACAGACTGTTGCTGTGCATATTAAAGCTATAGTCCATCATTTGCAGCTATCCAAAAAGTAAGGAAAAACATACTTGGTTGAAAGATAGTAAGGGGACTAAACTCCCTGTGAAATTATTCTTTCTGGCAAGCTGTCATTTTAAAGAAATCAACAAAACAAGGCCTTTCCAACAGTGCGTCTTAAGAAGCACCGTAGGAAATTCAAATTAGTAGTTCGTTTTGTTATTCGGCGAAGTGCGCGCAAGCATTGGCATGACGCACACGCGCGTGCGGTGCTGTAATTCATCGGATCAGTGCGCGACATCGCGTAGCTGCAATCGGCTCAGTGAGAACGTGTCTCGGACACTAAATCCTAGGCCCAATTCAAAACATGATTCAGCAACTTTTGATTTGAAATTGAGATCCTAGAATGTTGTTTTTCTCTAAATATACAGCTAAAGCTGAGTTGAAACTTCATCAGGTTAGTTGTTCAGCACCCTTCTTTAGATCTTGAGCACTTTTATTGCTTCAAACCAACAAAATGCACAAATTACAAATGATGGACTATACCTTTAAAGAAGATGCGTGTTAAAAGTTGCAATACATAGCTGCCCACATAAAATGTTAGTTAATTTCTGTAATGTTTATATCTCCTTGTCCACCCCCATCCCCACCACTTAATACGCTGAATTAATATTTCATGTTCAGTGCCTATGCTTATGTAACATGCATTGCATGAACCCCATTTCAGTTCCCTTTGAAAAAAAAAATGATAAATTTGGATTGCATTTCTTGCATGATTCTGTCTAACTTCCGATCCTTATCTTTGGCATGACAACCAAGGTGTCATTTTTAAACCATATCATTATGTCCTTCTTGTCAACAGTGACTTTAACTGTACTGTGACATATGGTCAAGATAAAATTTGTTATTTTTTTTTAATGAAAAGGTGCTAGAGAATTTGGGCAGTTGTACGAATCATTTGATGAAATAAAAGTCAATAGCGACGTGTTTGAAGAAGAAACTCGGGAAAGTTGGGCTGATTTGATACAGTGTACCATTCAGTCAATGATCCATGCAGTCTTTGGGTGCATGCATTTTCAGTGTATAGAGGCAACTTGGCTAGGTGAATGCGTAGGCTATCATGGCAATTCTAGGCCACCTTTGTGGAAGTGAGCCCTCTTGTGGCTTGTTTTGCCTAGTTTTTCATGTGTCTTATTTTGTTTCTTCAATCTTGTTGGTATTTTTTTTAAAGACGCAAAAAAAATGGAAATTTCTTTCAAATCTGGAGCTCATGCCATTAATCAGGCTATCAATTCAGGTTTCTTCAAATTCCATGGAGTTGCTTTTTCTGGGCCATTCTGTAGATATATATTTTTTATTGAAGTTAGGTTTAGTGTTTGTTTTGCATTCGGCAAGATTCTTTCTCAAAGGCTTAAAAGTAGGAGCGAGCTAGTTTGTGTATTTGGAGAAAGTGTTTCTATTGGTCTCTGTCCATGTTTATTACATTTTTTTTGTGTTCAGTTTAGCAAAATAGGGGGATGTATCTAAGTTTCATTTCCATGTCTTGTGCTGGGTTGATATACATGCAGTGATTTCTCCTCTGTAGTGTTGGCTAAATGTCCCTTGAACTACTTCAAATGTTTTGAATCATATTGGACAAAGCTTGCATGCACACATTTTGCCATCCACTGTAATAATCCAACTCCGACTCTTTCACAGCATTGCTTCAAAAAAAGCATTGTGAAATCACCACAGGTGAAAGGTGAAAGATCACAACCTCTCATTGGTTCATCCTGCCTCCCATGCCATCTCATCATCTTTGGGTTCTACAGTGTATCACCTGATAGGGGACGGCGCCCTCTGTTGGTAACGGAACGGATGCTGGAGCCAGCATGCAGCACAGATTGCTGGGCATCATGGGTCTTTTTTGTTCCATTTTGTAGGCCAAGGAAAATGAAGAAGAAGAAGAAGGAAGAAGAGCTTTTGATACAAAAACATTGGAATATAGAACAATTTTTGCGGCAGTTTGTTTCTTGCAAGAATTTGATTCAGGAATGTTGCAGGAATTGTCTGATGGATCTATAAACTTTCCATGAATAAAACTTTCATCCAAAAAGGAGACCAAAAATAAACTCATAATAATTTGATAGTTACTGCCAAAATTGCATTCAAATTCTGAAATTGTCTTTTAGAGAATCACAAAAATAGACGCATGTAACTCGGATCATGCAAAATTTGGACTGTTCGTTTATTGTTCCTGAGCTTCAACAACTTTGAAAGCTTTTTCAGTCTAACCTGATTAGAAAATAGAGGTATGGACAAATGCTCATTGTATTTTTCCATTTTGCCTAGCTGTCTAAATTTGTTTACCAAATAAGGAAGATTTCCATCAGACAATCTCCAATCCATGGTAAAGTTGGTGTGACTCTGGCTTTAACAGAGTTCTCTTCAAGTTTGAAAAACAGTTTGCAGTTTTCAGACTCACTACTAATTACTTTTTTGGCTTGATTTGAGTTTGTTTTTTGGACCTCTTTGAAATACATGTAAAAACAAAATGAGTGGTGCGCAAGATAACTTTCACAGCTTTTTTATCAGAACAATTGCTGCAGCCATGTTTGTTTTTCCACACCAATTCACTGGGCTTGAGGAGGGCATGAGGTGCGAAATAGTCTGGTGCCAGGATGAAGCAACCCACTTTCCAATGATGTCTACGGTGCTGTTTGGGTGTTGGACAAAGATGGCTGCTGCATCAGAAAACTTGTCAAAAAGCCTGTGTCACTGTCAACCATGCTTTGCTACGATTGAAGTAAAAATGTGCATGCATCTGAGTACGGGCTATTTTAACAGACAAGAGTGAACAAGAGAAGAGGAAATCGGTGCATTTGAATTGCTTGAATTCCTGTCCAGGGTATGTTCATCCTTTCGAAGTAACTAATTCTTGTTTTTATTGTTTGGGTGATTTTTGCCCTTAGCCTGGTTGTTGAGACTGTGGGAGATCATTGTTCCTAACGGAGTCGTCGTGATTGTCTCCACCAAAGGCTACGGAGCCGATGAACTGAAAGCCCATGTTGAGAACCAGTAAGTTCTGAAGGAATCTTGTAATGAGCTTTCTTCTCAGTGTATTTGGATTCATTTCCCGTCATATTTGTAATTTTTTAATTTGTAAACATTTTTCAACAGTGCCCCCCCCCCCACTTTCAATTATTTTTGCTGCCTGAGGTTTCTTATCTTGTACTCGACTGTGTTTTCCTGCCTCAAAAGAAAATCCTGGCAACATGAGGCCTGCCAACTCACACGCATTGGGCAAAAGACTCACGCATTTCAGACTCGCAATGACACGGATCTCTCATGCCCCCCAAAAAAACAGAAGAAATGCATGTAAAACTCAAATATAATGTTTAAATGGTGATCTTTTGCTAAAAAATAAGGTTAAAGTGGTCAGAAATCACCTCAGATTGCACCACTGAGCATCTAGGATCTAAGAGTTTTCAGGGCTCTTAAGCCGGCCACGAACCCCACACCTTTGGGGCTTCACGCTTCGCGCTTGCATTATTTCTAACGAAGCTCCATTGCCAACTTCTCACTCTCAGCTCTTACTCAAAGTTGGCAGCCCTGCAACGTGGATTTGAATATCAATTGCAGATTAAGTTTCAAGGTTTCTTATTGGGGAAATGACTCCTTGGATTTTTTTTTTTTTTTTTTTTTTTTTTTTGACTTGGCATTTTTAACAAAAAACTTTTGACAGATTTCTTTCCTTTCCTGGACCCTTAAATGATAAAGTTGATCAAATCCTCTGCTGACATCATCCATTTCAAACAGCTGAGAAATATGAACACAATAATTCTAACTACATGTACATGGAATGTAAACTTACATATGTATTACTCTGCCATCATAAAAGTGAGTGCCCACGATCCAGAACAAATGGGTGACAATTGTGTAACCTATTTTGTTGAAATATGTAAAAAGGATCAAAGCTAGGCCGCTTTTGGAGATACGTGTATATCAACTCCTTGTGAATTCAACTCTCTCTCTTTTTACCGTTTTTTCTCACTCTAGCTTGGAGCTGACTGAAGCCAAGGAGCTGTCCTATGCTGGTCCCAAAGGCCAGATCGCCACAGCAACCGTCACCATCTGGCACAGGAAGTAAAGTAACAGGTGTAAGTGCGTCAGGAGAGAACATGAAGTGAGTGGACAGGACGGAATCACATTGACCTACTTATACCTATTAGCTCTTGTACTGCACCGTATTACAGGTTGACCCCAAAAAATGCAAACCCAAAACATTTGCCCTTTTTTTTCCTTCAAAAACTTGATTTGTGAATTTTTTTGTTTTGGATATCAGATTAAAGCTGAGAGTTCTTATTTTTAAACACCGACATTTTTTAAAATACTGCCCCCAATGTACCAAATGTGATTAGTCCGCATTTTGTTTGCAATCGGTTTAACACATCCATAAACAGGTGGAAGCCAGCTAGTCTGGTTCCCTGACCTGACAATTCCCTGACATCTATAAATTGCTCTGTTTCGTCTTGGTGTTTCCAGTATGTATGAACACAACATTTTAAACAGGTTACTGTAATAATATTTGCTATAAAATAACCCCCCAAATCCATTCATTTCTGAAAATTACAGCCATTGTAAAGCCGATGTTGTTTATTACCTTTAACTACACTCAACCAAAAAAAGAAAGCCACCCTTGCAATTTTTTTTACCTAACTCAAAAACTACTGAGGACCTTTCGCTCAAATAACAAATAAATAGTACAGAAATTCCTTCGCAATCCAGCCATACTCTTTATTTGGCCCAAAACAGTGACAATGTGAATGAATTTATGCAATTAATGACAAATGGTACCGAAAACAGTTGCACTTCTGTATACGTGCAAGTTGTGGTTCACACTCGCCTGGCACGTATACAAAAGTGCAACTTTTTTTCGGTACCATTTGTCATA